TGCTCCATTGGGTGGTCTTCCTGGCTGGAGACTGTTAGGGCAGTAGAAAGTTCTTCCTATTGAGGCTCTTTGTTTCCAGTTCTGGAATTGTTGACATGGTCGCTGTGTCACCTGCTCTCCTAGAGTGGGATATGTGTTTTCTCCTTGATTTTATGGTGGACAGTGTCCCCCAGCTTCCATGGCTTTGTCAGCTTGGCTGGTCCAGGGCCTCAGTATGTTTGTGACACGTACTTGCATGTGGTTGCTACCTTCCTGCTCTTTGTCTTGGCTGTGCGTTTCAGGGGTTTTCTGACCTGACGATGGGTTGCAAAAATTTAACACACCTGCTCCCCATTCACACCGGAGACCTTCTAACGCTAACGAGTCACTTAACACTGGGGAGGGAAAATGGCTAATTGGGCCCAATTTTGACATTTTCACTTAGGGGGGGGTACTCACTTTTGTTGACAGCGGTTTAGACATTAATGGCTGTGTGTTGAGTTACTTTGAGGGAATAACAAATTTACACTGTTATACAAGCTGTACACTCACTATTGTCACATGAAAAGAGCCCTTCTTGGTGGCTACGTTGTTGGCCTTTATTCATCGGGGCATTGCATAATAACTTGCCTTGAGTATCATTACTGGTAGGCCCTTTGTTCAGCTTCTCTTGCCCATGCAGTAATTACTGTAAAGTGACACCATTAAGATCTAGTAATCTAGTTCTTTAATCTAGTTTCACTTTTTTACTTTTTTTTTTTTTTTTGCATTATTAAACAGTGAAATCAATTTATGGGTTCCTGAGCCAGATCATTCAGAGTTACCTGTGGACTGGTGGGATGCTGAAGCCGATAAGTCTCTTCTAATAGGGGTGTTTAAACATGGTAAGTACAATCTCTTTATTTTGTTAGAAAATATGTTCAACCTATAAATGTAGAGGAAAATACTAAAGCAGAATTCCAGACAGATATTAAAGCTGATCACCTTTTAAGTGAATTCTGTATGAACTAGAATTGCAATACTGTCTTGTTATCCAGACAACCGGGTGTCACACACCCTGTAACCTCCCTGCAAACTGTACTGAATTTGAACAGTATAGCCTATTATAAGGCCCACCGCAGCTTGTAAATTAGCAGGAGCACAGTAATGACGTCATAAGAAGGCTTTCATTGTTAGATGGACAGTATTGGGCAGTACAGTAGAGCTTTACTGGCTAACACTGTTGACCTTCTTTTTACTCATGGTGTTTTAAGAGGGATTACAGGGGGACTAATATCTAAGTCTGATCCAGAAACTTTTGCTAGCTGTATTTAAAATACCATACATTAAATGATCTTGAAAGTAGATTTATAGGCAAACCTTTTTATTTTTTTTTACATTTTGGATAGATTAAGGGAGGCTTTTATCCCGTCAGTCTTTTTTTCTCCATCTGTGTCCCAGTGGGGAGATTTCTCTTCACTCCCTGTCCCATAGCCAAAACAGAAAGTGAGAGAAAATCCCTCCAAAGTGAGACAATCCCAGGATGTCACCAGAATTTGCATCCATGTTGGAAGATTTCCCCTGTATTATTCTGGTGTCAACCCAAAATTTGGTATTTCCTTTTTTTTTTTCTTTTAATGATAATGGTAAACAGGACAAATATAGAGGGTGAATCTCCCGAATGAGGACACAGACAGCGGTGAAAACTGACAGGTGTTATAATCTCTGTCCACTCTATACAAAACATAGAAAAAAAGGTTTTGCGTTTAGTTATTCTCTATTGAATCTGAGCTGAACTGAGATTTATGGTATTTTTTTTACTTTTGCCTGGAGTCCAGCTTTAAATTCAGAGTTCTTCCGTGTCTCTTTAATGCCTTGCAAGTCCTTATATATGTATATGGCAGCCCTCAGTTCCAATGTAAATGAACCCCCCTCAGTGACTGCTTTATTTTCACTAATGGATGTTATTTGGTGAGTTGGTGCTTTTAATACAAGTTTTTTTTGTTTTGTTTTTTTTAACTTTGTGTGTCTACAGGTTATGAAAAATACAACACTATCAGGGCAGACCCAGTACTCTGCTTTCTGGAAAGAGCTGGAAAGCCAGATGAAAAGGCTGTGGCAGCAGAACAAAGGGCGAATGATTACATGGATGGGTAAGTTGGGATATACAACACATGGACTTACTGGTCAGAAACATTTTTACTTGAATATGAATCTAGTAATAATACTCATTATTTTTATAACAGGGATGTTGAAGACCCAGAGTACAAACCAGCTCCTGCTTTATTTAAAGATGACATGGAGGTAACACCGGGTCATAATGTTTGCATTTCAGTATTCATTTTGGCTTGTTTATAGCTAGTGGACTTCTTTTCCTACTTGTATAATAAATCTGCTTTCCTTTTTTTTTTTTTTTTTTTTTTTTTTTTTTTTTTTTTTTTTATAAAGGATGATGCTTCATCTCCAGGTGATCTCATTATAGCAGATGGCGGTAAGTTATTGCCATAAGCCTTTCCATTTTTAACTTCCATTTCTTGTATAGGTTTTGCAAAGTAAAACTATAAATAATAATAAACCTTAATAGAGATTTAAAGGGACATATGCTTTGCCTATTGATTTTTCATATCCAATTTTTTAACTTTAAAGTGACTCTAAACAATATCCTTTTTCAATTATAACCCTTATCCACTACTTAATGGGCCTGTAATCCCTTTTTCGTGAAATTTTTTCTTACTGTGTTTTTCTGCTTCCTTAAAATGTTCTTCTTGAGCCCCCAAACCCCTCATGAATTACTATAGGGGGGGGGATGAATTACTATATGGGGGATGAATTACTATATGGGGGATGAATTACTATGGGGGATGAATTACTATATATATGGGGGATGAATTACTATATGGGGGATGAATTACTATGGGGGATGAATTACCATATGGGGGATGAATTACTATATGGGGGATGAATTACTATATGGGGGATGAATTACTATATGGGGGATGAATTACTATATGGGGGATGAATTACTATATGGGGGATGAATTACTATATGGGGGATGAATTACTATATGGGGGATGAATTACTATGGGGGATGAATTACTATGGGGGATGAATTACTATATGGGGGATGAATTACTATATGGGGGATGAATTACTATGGGGGACGAATTACTATATGGGGGACGAATTACTATATGGGGGACGAATTACTATATGGGGGACGAATTACTATATGGGGGATGAATTACTATGCTTACTATGGGGGAATATTACTATACTTACTATGGATGACACATACACATCATTCATCTACTCTTGGTCCGGCCCCCGGGTCCAATATATGAACCCATTGCGGCCCTCAAGTCAAAAAGTTTGCCCACCCCTGGTTTAGAACATGATACTGTATATTTTTTATTTTTAGACATCTTCATGGGAACTTGAACACCTGCTAATTAGCAAAAAATCCTACTGGTACTTACTAGTCTGAGAACTCACACATAGAACAAAAATTATTCCATTGAAAAGCATTTATAATGATAGAACATTATCCTGCTGCCAGGAGAAAGGGTCATGTGGTATAGAAACTAACAGCAAAGGACAGTGACGAAGATCCAAGGTCGTAGAAAATAATACATGTGTCCTTGGTATGCAGTTAACATTATATATTTTTGCAGTTCAAGCTAATCAGAGGTATATACATTCCAATATAGATGTTTTTCCAGTGTGCACAAACTAAAAATTGCTTTACCTTATCATAACTTTCCCTTTAAACAACGTTAAGTACAGTACTTCTGCTGTTAATTTTTCTTGCACCCCTCAGAGGAACATTTTACTACAGCACATGGCAAGCGTTTTGTGTTTAATCATCAAAGTGAGAAAAATAGGCACTTATAGGTAAATCTTTTTTCATGACTAATGTTCTGAAGCCTCTTCTTACTGTTTTTAAGGAGATATGGCCAGGTGATGTTGCCCATTCAGGGCAGGGTGTCCATAATTGTGGAAAGGCTGCCCCTGACCACTTATACTCCCCTGACCACTTATACTCCCCTCTCTGTTGTTCCTTCTTCTGTGGCCACCATTGCTAAATTTCCGTGCTTTCAGGAATAGGTGAGCTTGGGATCTTTTCCCATAAGCATTGCTTTACCCACTTAGTACTAGTGATTGGTTGGGGCACTACATCATAGGGGAAGGGCACAAGTTCCCCCATATCCAAAAGCATTGGTTATGTTGCACTTGCACTGTTGACCACAGAAGGAGCAGAAGAGGAGGGCTGGAGATACAAGTATAAAATGGTTGGGGGTGCGCTTTACACTGTTGCTTTTCCTTGAATGGGCAAGATGATGTTGTTTAAGAGCTTTTAAGTTCAATCTCTTCACAATTGAAGAGTTTTGTTCAGGCAGTCTTTGTGTCTTTCTCTGTTAAGGATCCATTCCAGTATTTGGACAGTTGCTAAATATGCTAATGATTTTAAATGCAACATAATAATGAAGATCACAACATGCTGATTTTTAATGTATGTACATTGTCCCTTGATTTTTATTTATTTTTGATCTACCCAGATGGGCAGGGGCCTGAAGGCGATAAAAGTTACTGGCCAACACAGTCAGCACTGACCACGCGCCTTCGTCGACTTATAACGACATTCCAGCGAACTTCAAAGTTTAGGCAGATCCAACAAATTCCAACAATGTTTCCAGTTCACGCAACAGTAACACAAGCACCTTATGAAGATGCTTCCTTGAATCCAAAAGTTGCTGCAAAAATAGAAAGACAGCAAAGGTTGGCAACATCTTTTCTACAATATATATTGTAATTTATATATATAAAATTGTACTTTCTTTAATTGGCAGTGCAAATTGCAGTAATCTTGTAACTACCAGCAAAAGTCATTTTAACCATATGGAATATAAGTGCTAACTGGCTGTGGAGTGTTATTACAGTTTTCAAAATCTGTACCAAGCTGCCTGGGTCAAGTACATTGGGACCGTAGTAGTTATAGCTGGTTGCTGTGTGATAAGTCTGAATATTTGTGTTTGGTTGATGTAGGTGGACTCGAAGAGAGGAAGCTGATTTTTACCGGGTTGTCTCTACATTTGGCGTGGTGTTTGATCCAGGAAGGGGTCAGTTTGATTGGACAAAGTTTCGAGCAATGGCCAGACTACATAAGAAAACAGATGAAAGTCTTGAAAAATATCTTTATGCCTTTATAGCAATGTGTCGGAGGGTGTGTCGGTTGCCTTCTAAAGAAGGTAAGTATTTAAAAATTACATTTATTAACACGGTTTTTCATGATTGTGTTTACCACAAGGCCGATTGGCAATTGTCCTGCCACTTTCCTGTATACATTTATTGTGGGAGACGTTTGTTTGTGCTGAGACGTTTATAAGAAGAGGCCCTTTAGGGTTTATCATAGGCCTACTCCCATATAGGAGCTGTCCAGACGTCTGGTTATAATAAATAATGCTATCCACTAAGAATTTCAGTTCTGAATTGTCCTATTAAAAGAAAAAGATTAATGTTTATTAGATACCAAAGAACATCATATACTACATATAATGGTCCTTTTGTAGAGCAATCTGTGCTACTGCATAGCAGTCAATCATGCTCTCCCTTTACAGCCTGTAGAAGAGTATCTAGTTGCTATAGAGTAAGTTTGTATGAAATAGTTACATAGGGAAACTTTTATAAATGAGATCCAGTGCTTCTTGAAACTGCATACTACCTTGAAGATATTGAATGTATACAATTAGATATAAATAAACTCTTTTTCTTTTAGACATGGCAGACACATCAGTATCAATCCAGCCAATCACAGAGGAGAGAGCCTCCAGAACTCTGTACCGTATTGAGCTTTTGAGGAAGGTTCGGGAGCAGGCTATACGTCATCCACAGCTGTTTGAGCGCTTAAAACTATGCCAACCAAACCCTGACTTGCCTGCGTGGTGGGAATGTGGTACACATGATAGGGATTTGTTAATCGGAGCTGCTAAACATGGTGTAAGCAGGACAGACTATCACATTTTGCGGGATCCCGAGCTTTCCTTTATGGCATCTCAAAAGAACTACAGCCAGAATAAAGGAACCTCTTCTGCTTCTCTTATAATTCCACCAAACCAGCTGCCATTATCATCCTCACCTCTTACTCCTCAATCAAGAACGCATGAACTAAAGGGGAGTCCTAATGAGGAGGTTAAACTTAAAGATGATGCTGGAAAGGAGGATATTGCAATGTTAGAGGAAGAACCTATGAAAATGAAAGAAGAGGCACTAAACCTTGTCAATGGCCCACTGACTCATACTGGAGAATCTAAGCCACCTGTCAAGTCAGAGACAGACAGACGCATGGTGGCAGCAAGGACAGAGCCACTTACGCCTAACCTAACTTCCAAAAAACAAAGAATTGGCAAACTAGGTTCAGCCTCGAGTTCAGACTCCGATTCAGATTCAAACCGATCCTCATGCTCGTCCAGATCTTCCTCTTCCTCATCTTCCTCCTCTTCGTCTTGCTCACACTCAGGATCCAGTTCTTCCTCATCTTCTTCCTCCTCCTCCTGCTCCTCCTCTTCCTCTTCGTCTTCCTCCTCCTCTTCATCTTCATCATCTTCATCCGAGGATAGTGACAGCGATGATGGAGATGGACAGAAATGCGGTAAGTAGAGGGTTGTTTGATCAAATACAGTGTATCCCAAAGTGTAGGGTGTGTATCAGTGACGAATCAATTTATCAGAGTTGCTAGAGAGTTTGGAATTTTTGTGTTGACAGCCTTTTAGGAAGCTATCCTCTCTCTTTATGGTGTGAACTAGCATATAGTTGTCATCTTCTATAGCAGCCATTATCAACCAGGGTTCCATGAAACCCTAGGATTCCACCAGAGCTTGCTAGGGGTTCCTGAGACCTGAAAATAATCTCAAGAGTTCTTCTGGGGTAAATAGTTGAGGGAGGCTGTTCTATTGGCTGCAAGACCATTTTGAGTAGCAGAGTACTTTTTGGTCAGAAGCATTCTGAGGATAAAGTGTTTGAATTGAGAAGAAAAGGACAAATCAGAGGAATTCTTTGGGTAGCTGGATAAAATATGACTTTTTGGGCATTGCTAGTCAGGTATCTGCAGTACACTTGTTACATAGAGGTATATTCAGAGATTTGCCATACACAGTAGCACGCTTCAAGAGACAGGGATTTTTTAGTTTGCATTAAAACACTTAGGGACAGCTTTAACACTTTTCAAAATAGGGTTTAATAATGAAAAGGTCAAATTGGTGCAAATAAAATAGTTACAGAAAAAGGGTGTTACAAGGAAATAGAGACAATAAAGCAACAGAGAAATAAAAAGTAGTTGAAAATGAAGAATACTTGCAAAGTCCTTGGTTTTAGCAGAGTCCAATTGACCAAGCAAAAACAGTACAGTGGCTTTCTCAGGTCCGGTTCAGTGTTCCTTGGTTGATGTTAAAACGATTGCTGTCAAATCTGTTTGCAATCTTTTTTTATCTGAAATCAAGGGGGGTGTTGACAGAGACCATCTGACCATTCATCTGGCTCCCCAGGGGTGGGTGCTGAGAGGTCACCATGTTTATGGCCAAGTCTAAATACAATTTCTTTTAAGTATTCATATTTCTGAATACCTACCATTTACAGTCTACTACCATGCAGATTATTATGCAGCATGAAATTGGCTTCAAAATGGATATAGATATGGCAGGCCTCAGAGATCTATTTCTCATAGGAGGGGTGTGGAGGCCTAATCCACTCTGGTACCTCCTATCATAGGGGTTTTGGGTTCAAAATGCCACCCAATAACTGATGAATGTGAATATGACTTTATTCTGGTTGCACTGTCTTAATTTCAGAAGTTATGAGACATGCTGAAGTTTTAGAGTCTCAGCTGATAAGCAGTCTACAGAAATGGGTATTCCACAGACTTCCACTGAGGTTATGGCGCAATGCCTGTTAGTTCACCGGATTGCTCAAACTTGCGAAGGTGACAGTTTTGTTAGGGTTTCCAGACCGAAATTGTGGATTGGACTAATAGGTGGGAGAGAGCCTGCTTCTGTCCTGGTGTGATAAGAAGGCTCTGGCATCAGGTAACAGTTGTGTATTGCACCAGAGGCTTCCTGGGGGGATGAAGAGAAGGCAACCACTGCTGCTGTTCACCAACTTGTGTTACAAACTGTCATGGCTGAAGTCTGAACAACATGGCGTCCTTGCCCTTTCCCACAGTTTTGTGAGAGCTCAGTACGCTTTACCATTACACTACCTACAAATACATCTGGGTGAATACTATTAATATCTGTATTAGGCTGATGCACCATAGCTCAGGCAGAACAAAGCAAGGAAAATTACTATCATTTGCATTACAAAAAGTGAGTTTCTTTTGTTCTTTGCTTGTATTTTGTTCACTAAATCCTAACTTGATTATAGTATGTGGACTTTTTTACAAATACACAATGTTGCCAACATCAACATGCAAATATTTGAATTACTATTCGTGTAGACAGCTGTAGGTACAAAAGTCAAAATCCAGTTTCAACAAGACATGATACTTGACAAGAATCACACAAGGGTTTAGCCAATGCCACACTTTAACATTTATTTCATGTGCTTTTAAAAGGGAAAGTGTTATGTATTTTCAGTTTTTTGGTTTACCTTGTATTAAGGGAACTTGTGGCTAGGCTATTGCCTTTCAAGTGCTGCTCCCATCAACTATGTGATCAAAATAGAAGTTTGCAGAATGTAAACAAAAGAATCTGACATTAACCACTTCCCCTCCAGAGGATTTACCCCTCTTCCTGACCAGGACAATTTTTTGCAATAGCGCGCTGCGTTACTTTAACTGACAATTGCACGGTCATGGAACACTGTACACCAGGGGTCTCCAAACTTTTGAAACAAAGGGCCAGTTTACTTATCTTTAGGGGGGCCGGACTGTGGCCAGTGGGAGTAGAAAATGCCATGGGCTTGGTTTACTAAATGGGGGGGGGGGGGGGGGGGAATTTACATAATGGTGTCAGTAGGAGGAATAGTGCCCTATCATTGGTGTCAGTGGGAGGAATAGTGCCACATTGTTGGTGTCAGTGGGAGGAATAGTGCCCCATTGTTGGTGTCAGTGGGAGGAATAGTGCCCCATTGTTGGTGTCAGTGGGAGGAATAGTGCCTGATCATTGGTGTCAGTGGGAAGAATAGTGTTGGTGTCAGTGGGAGGAATAGTATTCCATAACTGGTGTCAGTGGGAGGAATAGTACCCCATAACTGGTGTCAGTGGAAGGAATAGTACCCCATAATTGATGTCAGTGGGAGAAATAGTACCCCATTGTTTGTGTCTGGGAGGAATAGTGCCCTATCTTTGGTGTCAGTGGAAGGGATAGTGCCTCGTATCAGTGGAGTGCCGCAAGGGCCAGATAAAAGCAAGCAAAGCAAATGACATGGGCTTGGTTTACTAAATGGGGGTGAAAAAATGTAGATAATTGGTGTCAGTGAGGAATGGTGCCCCATCATTGTTGTCAGTGGGAGGAATGGTGCCCCATCGTTTTCAGTGGGAGGAATGGTGCTCCAATCATTGGTGTCAGTGGGAGGAATAGTGCCCCATTGTTGGTGTCAGTGGGGTGGAATAGTGCCCTGTATTTGGTGTCAGTTGAAGGGATAGTACCTCGCATCACAGATAAAAGCAAGCAAAGGGCCACATGGGGGCCGCAGTTTGGAGATCCCTGCTGTACACAAATGAAATAGAGCTTTCTTTTGGTGGTATTTGATCACCTTTGTGGTGTTTTTTTTTTTTTTTGCGCTATAAAGAAAAAAAGACCGACAATTTAAAAAAAAAACCCAAAACAATATTTTTGACTTTTTGCTATTACACATGCTCAATAAAGAAAAATTTTTTTTTTGTAAATTCAGGTCAAAATGTATTCTGCTACATGTCTTTGATAAAAAAAAATCCCAATACGTATAAATTAATTGGTTTCCCTGAAAGTTATAGCGTCTACAAATGGTGTATATATATACTGGATTATTTTTTTTTTTTTAAATACTAGTAATGGCCGCGATCAGCGACTTCTAGCTAAACTGCGGCGGGGTGGGAACTAACTGCCACTGACATCCCCAGTGACACTAATACAGTGATCAGTACTAATAAAAAGCACTGACACTGTACTAATGACACTGGGCAGGAAAGGGTTAACGTTTGGGCGATCAAAGGGTTACCTGCATGCTGTGTGTGTTTTACTATGTGCGGTGTGCTGTTTTACTAGGGAGGCATGCTGTTTTGTATTTCTCTGCTGTGCAGAGAAATACAAAACCTAATGTCTGTGCTGACAGGGTAGAGGACTATGTTGTTTACACACAGGTCTCTCCCCTGTCAGCATTGCACGGTGATCGCCGGGTGCTGGCAGGGAATCTCAGGCCAGGACCCAGTGATTGACATGCCTAGCCAACAGTAGCTGAGAGGTACTATTGCTCAACCCCTATATCAGTCCAGAAGAGGGAGCACAGCTGAGTGCAGAGTTGCAGGTTTAATTGGCTCAACTCCTTAGAACCGTTAATCAGGGGAGCTGAACCCAATATGTCAGTATTACATTATAGACATATCCACTCGGTATCACTGTGTCTAAGAGATAGCTCACTCAGCGCACATCCACACTGTATAAAGTTACAGTCTTGCCACCCTGCAGACCTTCACCATCTCATCCCACTGGGAGATTTCCTCAACTCGTGATTGTCTTGACTATAGCCGTCTGGCCACTGTTACTCCACATGCTTCTTCGCCATGATGTCCAGGCATGGGGGCGTGGTATGATGACATCACGTGACATTCCTGTGCTGTCAATGTGCTTTGCTTACGTACAAGCATAGCTTCATCAGGATAACGTGCGTTCCACAGTACCACTCCTTAAATACAATGACTCCTCCTGGCCAGGTCCGGTCCGCACACTAAATATTTCTTAAAGGGGACATTTGTCTTATTCTTTCCTGACCTCGTACACAATCCCAATTGTCAGTTTTTTATATAGAGGGGGTAAATAGTGCACAGCATCTTATAGAGGAAGTTGTCCAGTTTACATTAAAAGTATTCAATTCAGTCATATATTCAATTGGGTAAAATGGGGATACCGAAAGTCACATCATTTTAATCCTCCAGGAAAACCTGGAGGTTCAGTTCTGTATTGAGACCCAGCAGAGCCAAAAATCTCAATTTATATATCTACAATTTTTCCTTTTGAAGCAGTACTGTATTAAAGTCTCCTATTCTTTGGGACAATTTAAGTGCATAAATAGCTTTTATTTTTATTCCTTCCAAACTACCTGAATGGAATTTATAGAAATGTTTAGGTAGTGGCTTTTCAATACTTTTGGGATCTACTGCTACAGGGCAGCCGCTTTGTGCAAAATCATACATGATTTTGCAGCTCCAGGTAGGGGGCTCATGCGCCACGCTGCCATTGGTTGCAGCGGATGTCAATCACCAGGTCCCGGCCGCCAATTCTTGGCCGGCACTTGGTGATCACCACTAAAGCTGAGAGGGGAGAGATCTGTGTGTAAACACCACAGATCTCTCTCCTGTCAACATGGACATGCTTTCTCTCTCTCTCTGCACAGAGAGAGAGAAAAATTCCAGTACATATACCGCCATTTGTAGATGCTATAACTTTCACATAAACCAATTCATTTACACATATTGGGATTTTTTTTTTTTTAGTGAAGACATGTAGCAGAATACATTTTGCCCTAAATTTATGAAGAAATTTTTATTTTTTTAATTTTTTTTATTGAATAGTTTTATAGCAAAAAGTCAAAAATATTATTTTTTTTTTATAGCATAAAAAATGCAGAGATGATCAAATACCACCAAAAGAAAGCTCTATTTGTGGGTAAAAAATGACATATTTAATTTATTTACAACGTTGCATGACCGCGCAATTGTTAAAGTAACGCAGCGCCGTGTCACAAAAAATGGCCTGGTCAGGAAGGGAGGTAAATCCCCTGGAGGGTAGATGGTTTTAATAAAAACAAAATGCGTGGGGGCAGGGACCTGACAAAAGCCGGCGGGTGCCAACTTCTTAAATAACTCATCCCTGCTGCTGACAGGTTCCGGCTCCTAACAACCAACAGAAATTGCAGGCAAAAATGCATTCCAGTGCGTTTTTTTGTGCTTTTGCTGCGTTCCAGTACAATTCAGTGCACAGAATATGCACATTGTTCTATTTTTTTTTTTTTTTTTTTTTTACTGCACTGGAACGTTGTGAAATATGCCATTGGATCCCACATAAATTACTGTCCATGCGCTTTTGATGCAGAAAAAAACGCACTGGACTGCATCTGGTGTGAAGCAGCCTTTAAGTACCTTAGGTGTGCACACTGTTACTCCTTCTCCACCACAGCTCCCCTGATCAGTATTTCTGGCAAATGCTTAGGATCACAACTGCAGTGTATATCCAAGCTTTGGTACAGTCATTTCTGTGAAAGCCTCTTTCACACAGGCAGCAGGATTCTGGAGTGTTCTGTAGTGGATCACTTTTTAGATAGTGGTTGATAGTTGGTTCACAGGCATTCAGGGGCCAATACTGTCAACTTCTGTGTTTTTTTGTTTTTTTTTTTTATCCCTAGGGTGTCTCTTTCTATCCCACTAGGGTTTCTACTTTGAACTATTGTGCCACAACTGCTATAGCTGCATTTGGCACGCAGTTGCAGAGTGGGCCAATTGATTTCAATGGGTGAGTTTGACAGGTGGTGCTTGTTAAAATTGCCATGCTGCGAAGTATTGCAGCCACAGCGATGTGAATTCACCCCTCTAGGTGCCATGTAAATTTGAAGATGGGCAAGGAAGATTAATCGCTTGTTTCTACCGCCACTCTGTAGCCTTAATTGACCTGATCACCAATGTACCCAAGAAAAGGACATTAAATCTGAAACTATGAGTTGCCAGGAGTAGAGGGAACATCTTCAAAGCAAACACATGTTCCCATTACAACTGTGTGATGTGTAACAATGCACATTGTAGAAATATCCTCTCACTTCCTGTTGCGTCTACAGTACCAAAAGTGAAATCTCCCTATTGAGACACAAAATGGACAGTGGTTTTAACCCTCCTCTACTGTATCCAAAATGGCAAAACATTGGCCTTACATATACTTTATTTACATATTTCTCCCTGAATCAATAGGACCATAGTGGAAATGTAAAAGCTGCTGTGGTCCATAAGGGTTAAACAAGTGCAAGAGCTGAAGTGGCCACAAAAGTGAAAGTTTTCAGAAACATTTGGTTGTGTTGCCCTTCGCTTTTCCTGTTCATTTGACAAAACAACATAGGTGATTGTTGAAATACAGATATCCATTGCACCAGCAGTTATCTCAGCACTAGAAATGGTAAAATGGTAGCCATAATAAAAGCTTTCAAACACAAGCTTTTCCTCTTGAGAGTGATGGCCTGACTGTTGGCTAATCCACTTAAAAAAAAAAAAAAGGCTAGAAGACTGGGGGAGTGGGGGGCGGCACAGGGGTAACATAGTTGGGCAGCTTTGATTCTGGTGCCTTCTAGCTGGTCTTCATTTTCTAATGATGTTTTCTCAACATTGCAGATCGATTGCCTCATGTGAAGGCATATGATGAAGAGAGTGTAGCCTCTCTAAGCACCATACAGGATGAAACTCAGGACAGCTTTCAACTGGACAATGGAATCTCAAGCTCAAACTGTCTCATCCAAGGGGGATATATGTTTGCAGCTGCCCACTGGCCAAAGGTGACTGACATGTACCATATTGTTATCTCTTTAGAAGGTTTAAGCCCTGGTTCACACTGAATGCAACTTTGAAATATCGCTACTTCACTTGAAGTAGTGTGATTTCAGAGCTGCAGATCAGTGCGATTTTGTACCTCCTGATTTCACTGTGGCTTGTAACGTCATTTAACAGAAATCAATGTTGCAATGAAATTGGAAAAAAGTAGTGCAGGAACTATTCTTGATATCCTGCTACTTCAAATTGCACTGATTAAGGCAGTGATATAGAAATACATTAGATGCAACTTCAGGTGAGATTTGTAAATCACATATCGAACCTGAAGTCGCACCGGTGTTAAACAAGGCTTAGGGCAATTTTAGGACAATTGTGCAGTTTATATATTTTTTTAGAAGTCTAAATATTTAATTTATTATTTGTTTGCATAAACCAGCACATTCCTTTAAAAACACAAAAGCTATATACAAGGATTTGCACAAAAAAACCCCATTATAAAGCTTTTATAATAACACAGGTGTTTTTGGGTGCAAGGGAGGAACAGGTACAACCTGCTGCCAGCACTCTGTCAACATCAATCACAGGCTGAAATACATGGCAGCTGGATGTTCTCACAAGCAGTAGTCACATAGAGACATGATTTCAAGGATGTTTCCCAGACATGGAATTCCCAAGTTCGAGGCATACATCTCTCTATAAATGCAAGTACTTCTTAGAATAGTGCCCCCGACACCACGTATTTCAGCCTGTCATTGATTTTGTCAGGCTGCTGTAAGTGGCTGTACTCTGCATCTTTTCCTCCCTTTCACCCAAAAACACCAGTTTTTTATTCTGTATGAGCCAAGCTTCATTTTTAGCATGAACCCTAAAGGACATGGGAGAATCTAGATAGGTAAATTAGTCCATATATTTACAGAGTCCATTATTTAGCTAGATCATATGAAATGACAGACATAAAGTGCATTTGGAAGCAGATATTGATGAGAGGAATGTTGGGAAGAATTTGTGAAAAGGATGACTCTGCATGAAGTGAGCAATTGTGATGAGATACTCTTTAATCCAAACGTTTGAAAGCTAGAACAGCCTTCTGTGAGAACATGCATATAAACTGTACAAATCTGTGTGTATTCACTTTACATCCATCACTTTTATCTTTGCTGTAAATTGTCAGCTACTTACAACACAGTGATGATCACAGTGTAGGGGCTGGGAGCCAGAACAGTGAGCACCAGTTTGGTGATTATCTCTCTTTTTTTTTGGTAATAATTGACTAATGAAACTATTGCCTAAACATACTTTGTCATAAAATATAAAGGTGATGATTTATAGCTTGTCTTTAAATCATGCCTTAGGAGGAGCAGAACATTCAATTGTATCTTTAGGCTTCATGAAGAGGGTAACTTGACCATGAAATCTTAATGCATGTGGTTGTGCTGCAGCCTGCCCTTTTCCATCGCCTATGCCTCTCTGTTAGACAGGCTGCCTGTCACACTTTATAGTCAGTAATGAGGTGGGAAGAGTGAAAAAACAGACCACAGCATGACTGTGAAAGGTCTGGTTGCTCTTTGCATAAGTAGGGTTCCACGGGTACAGAGGCCCTCTGAAAATAAACCCTGTGATTATTTAACATCTTCGTGACACAGGCAGCTTTACTTTTTTATACGATTGATATTCAAGACCACGTTATGCTGTCTGTTTACCATTGGGGAAATGTCCCTTCCTATTCCAGTAATGCAACATAAAGTTAGTGGAAATCTCCCGAAGGGAGGGAAATTCCTATTTAGACAGTTGACCTTTGAACAGGTGTCCACCATTAGATGAATTCCCCTTCTTTTTTGGATACCACTGTAAAATTTTGGATTTCCCCTCACTTGTTTCAAATAGAGGTGTGAATTTCCCCAATGTGGGCACATACAGCAATAAAAATGGTACAGGGTCTAACCCCTCTCCACTTTATTCAAAATATAAAAATAAAAATGTTTTGCTTAGATATGCACTTTAATTTTCTCACAGAGCAAGGCAATGCTAAACAGGAGTAGTGAGACAGTAGCACTGAAACAGGGAAACAAAAACCTGCCCCTGATCACATCTCTGTGGTTGGTTTTGAGTAAGCATCTCTCTAATTTTGTTGCAGACTTGTGCAGAGCTGTCTCTTGGCTTCCCAGGAATACAGGCACAGGTGTCACAAATGCACATAAAAGAATAGAATTTACTAACTGAAGAGCCATCTCATTTCCAGTTTTGCTACAACTTACACCCAATAATAATGTGAGGGCCATGTTGCTTGTACGGAGATGCAAAGGTTTTATGTGTATCCCTGTGCAGGCAGTCAAATGGGACACAGTGCTTGCACAAATACAGCCACAGCTCCCAATTTGACAGCTGTGTGGGTGCAGTAACCCGATATAGTTATTTCTTTTCCTGTATTTGGTGAACGGCTGCAATCTGCTAATGTAAGGCTTACTGGCCTGATTAGCTGGAATTTAGCCTCTGCTGTGAGCCTTACACCAGTGGCAGCAAAAAGGTTAATGGGATATTGAAAAATTAAAGCTGTTTTAGGGCTTCTTGCACAAGTCAGTGGGAATGAAAAGCAGCTTGAAGGTCAAATACAGCTGTCACTATAATGTTTATAATCTCAAATTGATGTCAACTAAGAAAAAAAAAGAAATTGTCTGGCGCTCATCACACAGGGAAAATAAAAACTATTGACAAATTGAAATAATATAACTAGAACAGAAAAAACTGCTCCTAAAGGGTTGCTGTGTAGCAGCTGTCTGGAAACAAGACTAACTAAACTAGTGCTAAACTAACTACAGGCTGGGCTAGGCTGTCTCCTCTGTCAGGCTGGGAACCCCAAAGCTGTGAACGGAAAAGAAAAGAGAGGGGCGGCAAGCTGACCATAGTATAGTAAGCAAATTAATTGTGAAGATCAAAAAAGGTAAAAGTTGCACTCACAAACAAAAGTAGATAAAAACGCATCTCTTAAATCAGTGTGCACTCCGGACATCTGTGGAGATGGAACAGCAGAGCACAGCTCCCTCGTGGCTAGCTGCCATCATGCATGTTCTGACAGCCTTTGCTACTACCTATGTCCTGGCAGTGTGAGGACATCATCCGGGTTGTCTTCTGTGTCTTACAGTGGCAGGTCTTCCTTGTCTATAGTGCCTGGCTTCAGCAGCTCTAGTATAGCAGCCACGGAGGGAGCTGTGCTCTGGTATTCCATCTCCACAGCTGGCCAGACTGCACACTGATTTAAAAGACATTCTTTTATCTACTTTTGTGAGTGCAACTTTTAGCTTTTTTGATCTCCACAATAAACTAACTTACTACACTATGGTCGACTTGGCGCTCCTCTTTTCTTCTCTGTGCAAGCAGAATGTACTTGAAAGCAAGCTGTCTTTTACTTTACTTAGACACTAGCCCAAAGCCTTGGCAAGGGCATTAGAGTAAGTCTGGAGATTACTATAACATGTCTAAAGCTTGTGTCATGCAGCTTGATGTTATTTCTTATATCAGTAAATGTACTGTACTAATACTGACATTTGAGGTAGAGGTGGCTGTGATCAACTTGCATGCCTAAACTATAAATACAAGCTGCGGTATTATTTGCTTTGATCGCTGCTGAGAATTTCAGTTTGTTTAAACTGTTAACAAAATTTTGAAAACCATTTTAATTAAGTTACATTTTATGAGCAGGTTAATTAAAAAATGTATTTCCCGCAGGATCGTGTAATAATTAACAGATTGGACAGCATTTGCCAAGCAGTATTGAAAGGAAAATGGCCTACACCACGAAAAACCTATGATGGCGTCCGTGTGGTGACCTTCTACACTAATCAACTGCTAGATAGCCCTGGGGCTGCCACAGAATACAGTGAATCGGGTGTACAGCCATCCGCCTGTGTGGCAATCAAAGCCGAACCCTGTCAATCACCACAGATGTCAAAGGTGAAGAAGCATGTACCAGAAAAGGAGTTTACAGTGAAAATCAATGACGTATGTTTATTTTTTTCTCTTGCCCTGGGACCTGGTTGCTGTGTGCAGCATGCTCATTTTCCAACTGGCTGCCTGCTCTTTTCTTACTACTTAACTCCTCCAATTTTTTGGAGTGGATCTTGCTTTTTTGTGCCGATTTTAAGCTCATTGCGCTTGGACCTGCAAAACATTAATATGAACTGTGATTTTACATGGCTAACTTTCCAGCCATTCTGGATTTGCTATCCATTTAATGCTTCCACAAGGTGCTCTTTATTGCACTGCCTTTAAATGCCATTTTTGTGTGTTCTGTTTTTTCCTTGGCTGTTTTTAATATTTTTAGCATGCATTTCCACATGCTTTGCAGAGACCTGCATTTTTATATATGGCAAACTGACATGCTTTTCTACCAAGAGTATACAATAATTGTAGTTAGCAATAAGAAGCTTTTGCACAGTATGTCCAACCATAGCTTTACTATTAGATAATAGGTGTATGATGTGAAACAAAATACTTCATTGATTAAAGGTGGAATACGCTTTAGACCTCTCTTGTGTAGTAAGCAAGAGTTTTCTTGCCCACACACTCCCCTCTTAAAGTGAACCTACCACAAACCTAGAAAATTCAGACTAAGCATATCATCAAAAAATGCATGAGCAGTGGTTATGTTAACCCCTTCTTCTTCATCTCCCAGCCCTTTAAGTGAACTGAAATGCTGGAGGTGGAGGCAGGCATTCCAATCATTTGACCACTGTGATTGGCTGTCACAGTGGTCATGTGACAGCCCCCAATTTCAACTATGCATTGGGAGCTTTACAGGACAGTTTAGTTTACTGTGCTGGGGGTGTGCTCTCAGAACAGTAAACTGTTTGCACATAGGTATATATATATAATATATATATATATATGGCCGTTTGGTGTTATGAGTGCGGGAAGTGGTTAAAGTGTAGGTCCGCCCAAAATGAATGAAAGGGCAATCATTAGATCTTGAGAAACTGGTAAATGCATTTATATTCAAATCTCAATTTTACCTGTAAACTTTGAGCTCAGCCACATCTTCTCACACTTAGGCCACCCTATTGGTCAATAAGACCACCCTTTGCATAACTGGACAGACTTTTTTATTGACGTGCAGTTTTCATGGAAGGTAAGCTCTGCTAATGTATGTTTTCTTCATATGCTCAGTTTGGGATGCCCATGGTTTGTGACAGGTTTACTTTAAGCAAAATGTGAGTCATCATCGGCTTCTGTTTATCTACCTTTTCCAGACTTTGTTCCTCCATACAGGCAACCCTAAGTATGACCATGGATAAGATGATTTTTAAGTCCAATACTACAAAAATTAGATGATACATATATATCATGTATATGTGATAAAAATCTTAATGACATTTTGAAATGCAACAAGTGGCTATGTTGGTGACATATCAGATTTCAGTTTGAACATGTCTTCATTTTTATTATTGCAATTCCAAGACCATATCAAATCAGTACGGTGGTCACGAGTTAGAATTCAAACAAAGTCAGTGGATGAGGAAAAAAGAAAGTAGGGGCAGAAGGGGAAAGAAAACTGAAAAAAATAGGCGCTGTGGAAAATGCTCTCTGTCAAGCACCCTAATGAAGATGCATCTTTATTGGGTGAGACAAAGTAGCAAATATAATAAAATTTGACCAGCCTGAAGTGAACAGTGTGACTCCAACGGACGGCCCGTCCCCTGTGAAGGGAGCTGAGATCAGAGAACGCTCCTGTCGGCTTCAAATCACTTGGTGTCAGCATACCGGCGTCCCGGGTGGCGTCATCACAGCAAGCGAAGGCAGTGTCCGGCGTCGGCTTAAGCTGGGAGCGTATGCAGGGTTACCAAGATGTCATTTTTCACGCAGTTGCGCTTTGTCGAGTCTCTGGTAACCCTGGCCGGCGGCCATTATATAGAAGACCATTAAAGGGAAGGCTGGCTGAGCGTAATTAGCAGGGGATGGGGTGTCAATCAAAGCAGACAGCTCGTCCTGAAGCAATGCTGAATACAAATTTAAAAGTATAAATTGCAAATTATAGAAAGCGGTGCCAATTAATGGAGTGATATTTATAAGATATGTATACATATCACTCCATTAATTGGCACCACTTTCTATAATTTGTATTCAGCATTGCTTCAGGACGAGCTGTCCGCTCTGATTGACACCCCATCCCCTGCTAATTACACTCAGCCAGCCTTCCCTTTAATGGTCTTCTATATAATGGCCGCCGGCCAGGGTTACCAGAGACTCGACAAAACGCAACTGCGTGAAAAATGACATCTTGGTAACCCTGCATACGCTCCCAGCTGAAGCCGACGCCGGACACTGCCTTCGCTTGCTGTGATGACGCCACCCGGGACGCAGGTATGCTGACACCAAGAGATTTGAAGCCGACAGGAGCGTTCCCCGATCTCAGCTCCCTTCAGAGCGGACGGGCCGTCCATTGGAGTCACACTGTTCACTTCAGGCTAGTCAAATTTTATTATATTTGCTACTTTGTCTTACCCAATAAAGATGCACCTTCATTAAGGTGCTTGACTGAGAGCATTTTACACAGAGCCTATGCTTTTCAGTTCTCTTCATCATGCAAATGATTAACAAGGCAGCACTGGTGAGCTCATGATTAACTGTTCCCATGTTTCCACCTGGAGTGGCCTCTCTGCGCTCATTTGTATGAGTTTCCCGCAGAAGGGGAAAGAGAGGTGCAAAAGGACAATGATCAAACTGCAACTTACTGAACATTCCTGTTTGAGAAGTGATAGGTTTACATCCTTTTAACAGAGGCTACAATAGTTGAATCATCAATGGGGAGGGTTAGGCAGGGAGGCCTTCTGAGTATGTTGGAGATAGAGCTTGGTGATTAGCATCCCATCAAGGCCTTGAAAGAAGCAGGTTCCTTGTTAACCAACAAGCAGGTCCAAGAGGTACAGGTTTTATTAGGGTCATTTTTTTGTCATCTGACACCAGGGTCTCCATGATCATGATGTTTAAGGTGTGTGCTCATTCCACTATATGTGGGGTAGTAGCAGATTTGCAATGGCAAGATACCACAACCGGGGTCACTAAAAGGCAGAGTCTGAGGATTTTTTTGTTCGTCTTAGGGACCAAGGTATCATTGACAGAAAAACATTTTTCCAAAATGGTCAGAGTAAGTGGCGTCATATCTAGATATGTAAAAAAGGTACCCGGCTTATCAGAGCCTCTCCAGTACTGACTGGAGGTCATGGGGGACATCTGGCCTTACTCTGTGGGGTCTGGTACCAGAGGGAGAAAATCTTGTAGCTCTTCTCTTGGAAGTAGGAAGATGTAGATTGTTTGTGGTTGATAAAGACCCTTTCTCCAATCGTCGTCAGAGAAGGCCTGACCTAGGTAGCACCCCCCTTGGACAAGAAAGGAGGTCCCCTCTCTCAACACTTTGTAGACTTTTGGAACCATATGGCAGGGTGGTGACATTTTGAAAATTAAGGGAATCAAGTAGAGTGTGCTTCAAAGATGGGGGATTGTGTCTTTTGAGTTTTTAGATGAAGCTATGGAGTTGTGCGGAGTCCAGTCCAAGGCTTGTGATTTTACGATAATTGCAGGGGGTCCTACCAGAGTCGTGAAGAGTTCTGGACAGTAATAATTTCAAAAGAGATTTTATAGTGACAATTGGACTAAAAAGCATCACTTAGGAATATATCCCTTTGAATTCAAATATGAGCAGTTGTATTTAGCACTAAGGCAATTGGTTATAGCAGAGAGTTTTCACTGCTTTCACTGGAAACTGCAGTGTTTACTTAACACCACACACAGAATTTGTGAGCCATTCAGAAAATACAGACCATGGCTTACTCTCAGCATAATGCTACAGAGAGCACTCTGATATTGGAGGAGAGGCCAAGCACATGATATTGATAGGCCATATAACCGGGCTTTCCTATGCCTTCTTCTTTTCTTATTCATTAACCACTTGAGCTCCTGAGGATGCACCCCCCTTAATGACCAGGCCTCTTTTTGCTACTTGGCGCTGCACTAATTCAACTGATAATTGCGCGGTCATGCAATGCTGCACCCAAACGAAATTTACGTCCTTTTTTTCACACAAATAGAGCTTTCTTTCGGTGGTGTTTGATCATCTGTGCGCTTTTTATTTTTCACGCTATAAAGAAAAAAAGGCCAAAAATTTTGAAGAAAAACAATATTTTTTAATTTCAGCTATAAAAAATATATAGTAAACTCAAAGTTGGTTATAAATTTAGGCCAAAATGTATTCTGCTACATGTTTTTGGTAAAAAAAAAATCCCAATAAGTGTATATTGATTGCTTTTTGTGGAAGTTATAGCGTCTACAAACTATGGTATAAATACTGCAATTTACGCCATTTTTCTGCTATACAGCGCTGTGCTAGTTTAACGGACAATTGCGCGGTCATGCAATATGGTACATAAATGAAATTTACATCCTTTTTTTCCCCACAAATTGAGCTTTCTTTTGGTGGTATTTGATCGCCTGTGCGGTTTTTATTTTTTGTGCTATAAAAAAAAGAAGGCTGACAATTTTGAGGGAAAAAAAAACAATATTTTGGACTTTTTGCTATAAAACATGTCCAGTAAAAAAAAAAAGGAAAAAAATCAAATTTAGTCATAAATTTCTGCCAAAATGTATTCTGCGACATATCTTTGCTAAGAAAAAAACCCAATACGTGTAAATTAATTGGTTTATGTAAAAGTTATAGCGTTTACAAATGGCGGGAAAGATACTGGGATTTTTAGGGGTTTTTTTATACTGATAATGGCGGCGATCAGCGAATTATGGCAGCGATCAGGGACTTATGGCAGCGACTTATGGCGGGACTGCGGCGGACATTTTAACATTGGGGGGTACTGACTTGGGGTCACTGACATCCCCAAAAACACTAATACAGTGATCAGTGCAAAAAAAAAAAAAAAAACTGACACTGTACTAATGGCAATAGGGAGGAAGGGGTTAACTTTATTTAGCAGGGAAGGGTTATAGGAGTGAGGGGAGTGTTTTACTAGGGGCGGGGGGTGTGTGCTGGGCGGGACAAGGCTGATCGAGAAAGAAAAACTGTTCTTTCTCGATCAGCTCATCCTCGAGCTGTCAGGGAAGTGACAGACAGTACAGCTACTGCAGCTGTGCTCTCTGTCACTGTTTGCCGCCGATCGCCGGGACATAGCCGCTAAGGAGCGGCTGTAACCCGGCGACTGACATCTGCGGCAGAGAACCGCGGGACAAATAGGGCGGCGGCGCGCCTCGCGCCGCCCCCTATTTGTTTACAAAACACACGTCTTAAAACGTGGTTTTGCCTGTGAGTGCCGCCCTGCCGCCGTATATGTACAGTGGCTGGGCGGCATGCGGTTCATTTGAATAAAGCTTTGCGTACTTCAGAGTTCTGCAGTAGAAGAGTAATGCATATTACCTTTTTAGTGTAAAAACCTACCCATACAGTTAATTCAAATGATAACCATTCTGACAAAACTCTTGCACTGTTCTTTATTGATTTTAAGTAGAACTATAGATTATTTTATTTTTTTTTGCCATCTTTGTCCGTCACATTGGGGAGATTTACCTTCACTTCCTGTCATAGACAAAACAGGAAGTGAGAGGAAATTCCTGCAAATTAAGGAAATCCCTTGGGGCCCCAAAGATTACCAGGACTAGTGTCTCCATTGAAAGATATCTAGATCTCCCTTCTATTACTTGACTTTTCTGGGAACAACCCAAAATTTGGGATTTTCTTTTACATTCACTTTCAATGATAATGGTAAACCTGGTCAAACAGCAAGGGTGAATCTCCGTAACACTTACAGCAATAAACACTGACAGGTGTTTTAATTCCTCTCCTCTCTGTCCAAAACTTAAAAAAATAAATTGCCTTTAATTATACTTTTAAGATTCCATCTCAAACAAAATCTATATGTTGCCAACATAAACGAGGGAAGAATTGTTCTTTGAAACATTGAGGTTGATTTACTAAAATTGGAGAGTGCAAAATCTGGTACAGCTCTGCATAGAAACAAATCGGCTTCCAGTTTTTTGGGGTTTTTTTGTGTATCAAGCTTAATTGAACAAGCTTAAGTTAGAAGCTGATTGGCTACCATGCACGGCTGCACCAGATTTTGCATTCTCCAGTTTTAGTAAATCAACCCCATTGTCATTCTCGCTTAAAATCTGACAGATCTAAAGCTTTAAGGTTCTGCTACTGGACTTTTAGTCATGAACGGTTGGTATGATATATTTTATTGCTCAGAGCCTCTCATTAATCTAGATGTGTTGCCTTTTAGGAAAGTGGCTTAAAGCTGACATTTCAGAAACAAGGGATTCCTCAGAAGAGGCCTTTGGACGGTGAAGAGGCAATGGGACAGCAGCAGTATTTGGCTCGACTTCAGGATCTTCAGAATGCCTCTGAGGCCAGTCTTGTAACCTTTCCAAAACCCTTGGCAGCTTCAGGTAAAAAGCAGTTTATTTGACTGGCCTAAGGAGAAATCCAGGCAAATGGCTACATACACCAATAAAATGCATAAAGTAAATGGTCTTGCCTTCCAAAGTATTTGTATTTCTGTTCATCCAGTTTTGAGATGTATGCAGCTCTAACACAAACACAGTCCTTTGAGTGGGAAGGAGACCTAATTTTTGTGTGCTGCAGTTAAGCAACACTTACAGGTCTTGTTCTGCCCCATCTTGTAACCAGACCATAAAGGAAAAGCAACATTCTAATAAGTTCTTTAGTCTGTCACTCTGCTTTCTCCACTTCTGAATGTGTTCATAGCGTGTGAGAATTGCAGCACAACTGTTTGCTAATTCTACCTCTCCCAGCCTGAGCTCTGCTATACCATGTGGGCTGCAAGACGCTGATATCCAGATTTCATTATTACATTCCGAGATCTGCCTGCAGCCTCTACCAGCATAACCTTCCCAGAATCTGCCTGGACTTCAGCTTTAAACTGGCTGGAAGCTATCATTGCTAAGGCTCCATTCACACATGTGTTTTCTAGAGCGAGGCTCTAAAACATTCAGGGAGGAAAAAAATCAATATTACTCTATGGAGAAGGTTCACATCTCCACAAGTCGACTGAAGCAGAATGCCTGAAGCTTGAAAAATTTTTGGAGCTACTATTGTAGCTCTATTTGGGCAGATTGATGCGTTTTGGGCGCAATTTCATTCCCATAGGAATATGTGGATAACACAAAATCACGTGTTTTCATGCGCTTTAGCGCACAACCTAGAGCTTTTTTCTGGCATGGCAAAACATGGCAGAATTTGATGTCACGGATTATATTTTTTTCCCTTTTCGCTAATACAAAAACGCCAAAACTCAAAGTCTGAAAATGCCTGAACAAATCGTGCACAAATGTTTCCAAGCGCGCAATAAAACGCATGAAAAAAATGCACAAAAGCACTCATCCATCCATGTCTCCATGCTTTTTGTTGATAAATCACTTTGAAAAATACCCCCCTAGCATTTCTAACCATGGCTATGTTGAGTATGACTTGTGTAGCATCTACTTCCTGGACTCTATGGGGTTTATTTACTAAAGCTGGAGAGTCCAAAATCAGACTCCCTTCTGCATAGAAACCAATCAGCTTCCAGGTTTCATTGCCAAAGCTTCATTGAACAAGCTGAGGTTAGAAGCTGATTGGTTTCTATGCAGAAGGGAGTCTGATTTTGGACTCTCCAGCTTTAGTAAATAAACCCCTATCTGTCTTAGTTCAGGTAGGGAGAGTGTTTAGCCTCTCCTCCAGATAAAGGAAAAAGAATGCCTCTGAAGACTCCTGAGATGTATGACATCATTTTGGCCTGAGCCAAAACCAGGAAGCAACTGAAAAAGTGTTTAAAAAAAAAAAAAAAATTGAAAAAGAGTAAATATAATATACATTCCTATCTAATAACTTAGGGTAGCAGCATAATGATTGAAACCGGTTACAGCGAAAATAAAGTCATCAATTTAACTGGTTCCCAAACTGTTTTATACACGGCTTGTCGTAAATCATTTACTGTCACATGAGTAGCCCCATGGCAACAGCAGATCGAACTTGAGGCTAAAATGGCAGCTTCTTTCATTGACAGGACGGGGGGTTTAGTTCCACTTTAATGCTGACTGAGAGAGTTTAGTTACATTTTAATATCAATGGTATATGAAAGTAGAATGCAGGGGAAACAACTAGGGGTTATCAGGAAGCGACTTGTCCATACCTCTCCGCTTTTACCTTTAGGTCTTGAAGCTGCATGTTAATCCACTCTAAAGGCTGTTTCTGTAATAAAATTGTCATTCACAGCTCTAATTCTCCATGTTTTTGAAAAGTCATGTTACAGCTAGTTTTAGAAGCACTTGGCAAATTTAAACAACCTAAGAATACTGAAATCCCACCTTCAAAAATGTAGTGAAACCTTATTGGGTATTATGTTATTGCAGTTTGTTGTTGTCCTTATTTAATACTGCTTTATTTAATAATCCTATACACAGTACATGAAGTGGTGTGGTCATTAATAAAGATCTTAATTTTTGAAGGTACTTCTAATATACTGCCAACTTCTGGTTTGAATGGTATGACATCAGATGCTCAGCCAACCGTCAAAAAAAGAAGAGGCAGGAGGAAGAATGTAGAGGGAGTTGATATCCTGTTTATGAACCGAAATAAGATGCTAAATCACGTGAGTCAAATAATTTTATGGATTGGGTTTGAATTCTTGCTGAAAATAGCAAAATATTGAATATTCTTAATCACCTTTTTATTTAGTGTAGTGTACTACTAAGACAAAACTTTGTTATATTGGAGAAAAATGACAACTACCCCATCTTGCCATTATCTGCCACAACATGCATGTGACACCCCTGGCAAATACCAAAGGATAACAGTTATAAAAGAGATAATGATTGGGCAGATTTGCACCTCCTCCACCCTTCTCAATTGGTATTACCATGAATCTTAACAATGTGGCACCCATAAAATCTGATCAGGGGTCAGCTTTTATTAAATGTTAGGCAAATGAAAGATGGTTTCTGGTTTCTTCTGAGTGATGATATATTGGTTTGTGTTATATGATATTTGAGTATGGGTATGACCGTATGCAGATTTCCAGACGCGCTTAACTTTTAGGGCTGGTTCACACCAGATGCAGTCACTGCGTTTTTATTCTGCATCAAAAATGCATGGACAGTGTTTAACATGGATTCCAGTAGCCCTAGTGCACGCGAGTGCTGTGATTTCCAGTGCTGTCATCAAAAGTAGAACATGTTGGGTTTTTTTCTGTGTATGAAGCACATCTTGAGCACGGTAAAGCACATCAAAAAAGCACTGAAACACACATGTCCTCAATTAAATAGAAGAAAAAAAGAGGAGAACAAAGACACCAGAAGACTTCAAAAACACACATGCAGAAATCCATCTGGGATACAGAAATTGTGGTGTGAACCAGCCCTTAAGAAGTGTGAGAATCAAACAAAAAAACAACACGCATGCTCACCTCTATGGCTGTAGTATCAGTCTGATGCTGCAGTTGTTCCTTGTCAGCTCTAAGCCCAAGAACCAAGTTAATCACATAATGCTGATTGCTCAATTCTCGGTCTGCTCTGAGTGGAGTCTGTCACTCATCACTCCCTGCTCTGCCTCTCCAGCACTCCCTGGATGTGGAGGGGGTGGGAGCGGTCGGCTCGGGCTCTCAGCGACATGCTGAGAGGAGGAGCCAACTGCTGATCAGGTGTATGGGTGGATTCTGACATTATTGTAGGGATCCCTCAAGAGCCTGAAGTGGCTCTGTGACCTTAGCCGACAGTGGGCTGTAGCTTATTCTGGGTCATAGGAGGGCAAAAGTAAGTGTACACCTGTGATCCCAAAAAAGAAGTATGGCCAAAAAAGCTTTGGCCATACTTCTTTTAAGGCCTAACTCCAGACATTTTTTAAAGTTTCGCATGAAGCAAAGAAGAACTACTTCCCCTGTCAGTTTTCTTTTTCTGCCTGTGAACACATTGTGGAGATGTTCCCTTCCTTCCTGTCCCTGTGACCCCATGACTACAAATACAGGGAGCAGTTGTAACTGGGACATGAAGGCCCAGACAGCCAAGAAAAAAATCTTCTCAGATTGCCATTTACAGGAAAATTAGACACTGGCAAACTTTTGGCCAGCCCAGGTTACCTCTTCCTACTATCAGCATGCCTTTTTTTGCTAGTGTCCTTTGGCTTGAATTCTCAATCGAGACACTTCTCTGTATGGCTGCTGAAAGTCTGTCTCTTCAGTTGCAGAGGCCAGACTGTGCTTGACTGAGCAGTGCAGGGATGGACTGGAAATCACTTTCAGGCACTGGATTCTGTGTGGAGTGCTTTTCAGGCTCCATTTTGGTAAATGTTGGCTGCATAGTGCTTTTCAGAGCCACTGGCATTACCTTTCTTTATCTCTTAATAAGTGGGCCATTCACACCAAGCACTGGGAATTACTTAATACTGCATAGGCTGCACTTAGGGCTCATTTATGTAAACTTTGCCCTTTGAAGAGAGATCTTTGTTTTTCAGAGGATGTTTGACAGGCGTGGAGGTAATTTTTGCAATGCCGCACTGCAAAGCATCACTCTGGGAGATAGTTATAGGCACAACTAGTGTACACACAGTCTTAGAGTCTGCCCCATCCTAGAAGTTCTCTTTAGTCCGGTGCTGCTGTATTCTCTGCCCTTTCAGTTGAGACTTTTACCAGAGGCATGCAAGACTTTATGGCTCAAATCACCCAGTTATTTGCTGGCTCTGATTGCAGCTGTTTGATGGTTGCCAGGCATTCAAAATTAATGAAGATTACTGGAGGTTTCAGTGTTATTGCTTTAGAACAGGGGTCTCCAAACTATTTAAATGAAGGGCCAGTTTACTATCCTTCAAACTTTAGGAGGGCCAGACTGTGGCCAGTGGGAGTAGAAAATGTCTTGGTGTCAGTGGGAGTTAACAGTGCCCCATTGTTATTGTCAAGTGGATAAATCGTGCCCCATCATTGATGTCAAGTGGAGGAATAGTGCCCTATCATTGGTGTCAGGTGGAGGAATAGTGCCCCATCATTGGTGTCAGGTGAAGGAATAGTGCCCTATTGGTGTCACTGGGAGGAATAGTGCCCTATCATTGGTTTCAGTAGGAGGAATAGTGCCCATAGTGCCCCATCATTGGTGTCAGTGGGAGGAATAGTGCCCCGTCATTGAAAGGAATAGTGCCCTGTTGATGTTAGTGGCAGGAACTATGCCCCACTATTGCTGACAGTGGTGGTAATAATGGCCCAAGGGCTGGATAAAAGCAACATAGGGCCGCATTTGGACCCAGGGCCAGAGACCACTGCTTTAGAACCTCACTGCATATCAAACAAGATCAGTTGCAGTTTATGCAGTCATAAAATATAAAACAGTACTTTTTTTTTCATTTATTGGGAAGCAAAATTAGAGATAATCTGTTCTTAAGAGTTGGACTGAGTTTTACCAAACTGTTTGCTCAACACGAATGTAATATATTTCAGGTACCTATGGTTTTATTGATTGGTTTATGTTCATTTATTAACATATTTTTTTATTATGGTATTTACAGGGGAGATGCTATGTTCTGTAGTCTTTTTTCCTCAATTTAGCTATTCATAAAGAACTACATTGCAGGCCATTCCAATGTAATGTCCAACATTTAAGAATCACAAATGATTTTCTGTGTTGCAGCTGGATCCTTCCTTATCTCAGCCTTTACCTGGCCCTCAGGTGATTCCAGGAGCACTGGACGCAGACAGCCCTGTCCCTGTCATTAACCTAAAGGATGGCACAAGGCTAGCAGGAGATGATGCACCAAAACGAAGGGATCTAGAGAGCTGGCTTAAAGCACATCCTGGTTATGTAGAAGACCGGGGGGCTTTTATACCCGTAAGTTTTGACGCAATACTTTTTACTATTTCTATTGTAGTATCACATAAACTAATTGCTTTGCAGTTTGACTTCACTTTGGAAACTGATGTTTAAAGAGAATCTTCCACTTTGCCCATTCAGAGAAAAGGGACAGGTTTTCCTGATTGGGCCATCCCCCCACCTACTGATGATTACCTTCTCTGCCTTTCCCTACTGCTCCATTAGCCATGGAAGCCCTGTATAACCTTATATACTGCTCCAAAAACTTAAAGGAACTTTTCAAGTATAGTATCAAGTCAATTAACCACTTGCCCAACAGGGCTATAGCCGAATGACGGCTACAGCGCGGTTGTCCAGTCCTGGGAGGTCGTCATATGACATCCTCCCAGAACACGCCCTCACGTGCACCCCCCGGGGGCGTGCACCCAGTGATCTCCGTGTCCCAGGATCTGGGAGGAAATACTCCAGGACACCATCTGTCGTCTCGTTAGAAGCATGCCCCTATGTCGTCAGGCATGCATACAAGCATGTGGGAGCCATACAAACTACTGAGTACCATTTTAGGTTGCTGCAATGAAATTTCAGCAAAATGGACTAGCCTGCTGCATAATTTTTTCACTTTGATTTTTTGGGGTGTCTTTGAATTCAGTCCTCTGTAGGTTGATCATTTTCATTTCCATCAAACGATGGGGCATCCTTGCATTTCTAACACATTACCCAGTCCATATCAGTATAGATGCCCAACATGATATTTTTCCCCATTGAGATCTGATGTGTTTTCAAAGTGTTCCTTTAATTTTTTTGAGCAGTGTATAAGCTCCTTGTCGTCCAGTGCTTATACAGGGTTAATGATCTTATGCACTCCCATATGTTCCTGTGTTCCAACCTGGTAATTGGCAACTAAGGCTGAAGCCCCCCATTCTAAAAGGAAGGGCAAACAATCTCATGCTTCCCCAGGCAATGTTCAGTTCTTCTAAGGACAAATGTGCTGATGTGAGTGTTAACCAAATAATATGTATTATATGTGTTCAGAGGATGCAGCTTCATGATGGTAGACCCAAACAGAAGAGGCACCGATGTCGAAATCCCAATAAGCTGGATGTGAACAGCCTTACTGGAGATGAACGTGTTCAGCTCATCAATAAGAGAAACGCCAGGAAGGCAAGTTAACCTAAATCTAACAATCCACATGTGACCTGATTTGTGCAAGAAATGCAGTTAATAGGGTGTCTTTTGGGGCAAATTGCAGTTTGTAGACAAAAGCTAAGCAACCCCAAGGAAGTTTTGAAAGCGCCTTGCTAATATTTAAAGTGTTATTAATTCCATAAACAAAATGATTATTATGTACTGTATTTATAGATTTCAGCTTACCTATCCTTAGTAAAGGCTGAAGGTTTTTTGCCTTCATGCATTCTACTCATGAATGTAATAACCATCAGTATGCAGCTCCCCCCAATACTTAACCAAGCCCAGACATGATCCAGCACTGTGCATGGGAGTAGCTGCTCTCTCGTGTCTCTGCCTCCTGATTGGCTCAGACACAGCGATCAATCACAGCCAATGAGGAGGTACCAGGGGGCGGGGCCGAACCCTGTTTTGTGTGTCTTTTGGATACGCAGAGTGGAGCACAGAAGCAAGCATGGGTGAGTGCCCCCAGAGCAAGCAGCTTGCTCTGGGGGCACTACGCAGGAGGGAGGAGCCTGAAGGTCTGGAGGGGAACTCGAGAAGAGGATCAGGGCTGCTCTGTGAAAAACTACACAGAGCAGGTAAGTATAACATATTCTAAAGTATAAAGAGGGGAAAAAAACTGAATAGGAAAGCCAATTCAGCCAACATATCCAAGAATTGGTTAGCTGCAGTACATTACATTTTTAGATTTGAGTTAAATATCGCTTTAAATTTATCCCAGCAATTTTTACTATCTTTGCATCTGATGAAAGTTGATTTTGTTTTCTAAATTAAAAAAGGAATAATGCTCTCAACACAAACTCTTGTCCTATTTAAAAAAACATTTGTTGCAGGTTGTGTGGGGCTAAATTGGGGTGTGGATGGTCAAGCCTTTTACTGGCTTTTACTTTACACATTCAGAGGTGAAGATCTGTAATTAAATTCTAATCAGGAAGTTGTACATTTTTTACTTTAACCAATATGCCCATACGCTGGAGAGTGGTAATGTTTATTAACAGTTAATACACACAAACAGGAAGATGTTAAAGAAGTACGGCCAAAGCTCTTTTTAGCCACACTTCTCCTGGGGATCACATAAGTGACTTTATTCTGCACGTCTGTGACATGTATTCAGCTGACCGCAAGCTAAAGTCCACTGTTGGCTGACATCACTTAGCCAGTCCAGACTTTGGAGAGTTCCTGATTTTGAAGTCAGGATCCACCCAGATGCCTGGACTGGCAGCTGGCTCAGCCCCTCAGCAATCCGCTGAGAGCCTGAGCTAGCCACTCCTGACCCCTCCACAGCTCAGCGCTCCAGAGCAGAGCTGGAGACTGACAGCCATCACTTTCTGCTCACTGAAGACTGAGGACCGAGTGATTAGCAGTCTCTGATTGCTCAGATCTCGGTCTTAGAGGTGACGAAAGACAGATGCAACATCGGATCATGCTGTATCACCTAGGTGAGTGTGTGTTTTGTGGTTTTGTGTTGTTTTGACAGCAACAGTGCATGCTTTAAAAAATATGTTTTCTGCAAAGTTTTAAATGCAAGCCATGTTAAGCACATGTTATTAAACATAAACCTTTATACTTGTTGCTAATATTCATAAGATGCAAAGAGTGTTGCATGATCTATATAACAAATACAAATATTCAGCAATGCCAAAAGTTGATACATGGGAGGGGCAGGAGGTTGAAAAGCTTTTTCTTGTGGCACTTTGTCAAGAACACCTCAACAAAGTTCCTGCAGGCATTAGACATCAGAAGATTTGCAATAAATGTGTTCAGCCAAAGTTTGTGTTTCAACCAGTGTATGATCAGATGCTTAAAAGCTCTGTTGTATACGTTGGCCTCCTTTTGTTAGTCAAGAAAAAATGTCAACACTAGGCAATTATTGTGCTTTGTTCTCAACTTTGTACACATTTATTGGTTCAGATAACTGAAATGGTTTAAATCTGTTATATCTGTAATTTTTACCAGTGTACAGTGAGAGAAATATGTATTTGATTCCCTGCTGATTTTGAATGTTTGCCCACTCACAAAGAAATGATCAGTCTAAAAATGGAATGGTAGGTGTATTGTAACACCGAGAGACAAAATAGCAACAAAAAGTTCAAAAGAAATGCATGCCTAACAAATTATGCACTGATTTGCATGTTCATGAGGGAAGTAAGTACTTGATCTCCTTCACAAAACATGACTTAGTACTTTGTGGCAATCACAGAGGTCCTATAGTTGGCCACCAGCTTTACACACATCTCAGGAGGGATTTTGGCCCACTCCTCTTGGCAGATCCTCTCCAAGTCATTAAGGTTTGGTGGCTGAGGGTTTGGCAACTAGAACTTACAGCTCCCTCCACAGATTTTCAATCGGATTAAGGTCTGGAGACTGACTAGGCCACTCCAGGACCTTAATGTGCTTCTTCTTGAGCCACTCCTTTGTTGCCTTGGCTGTGTGTTTTGGGTCATTGTCATGCTGGAACACCCATCCACGACCCATTTTCAGTGCCCTGGCTGAGGGAAGAAGGTTTTCACCCTGTACATTGCCCCGTCCATCGTCCCAGTTGTCCTGTCCCCTTAGCAGAAAAACACCCCCAAAGCAGAATGTTTCCACCACTATGTTTGACAGTTGGGATGGTGTTTTTGCGGTCATAGGCAGCATTCCTCCACCTCCAAACACGGCGAGTTGAGTTGATGCCAAAGAGCTCGATTTTGGTCTCATCTGACCACAACACTTTCAACCAGTCCTCCTCTGCATCATTCAGATGTTCAGTTGCAAACTCTAGACGGGCCTGGACATGTGCTTTCTTGAGCAGAGGGACCTTGCGGCACTGCAGGATTTCAATCCTTGTTGGCGTAGTGTGTTACCAATTGTTTTCTTGGTGACTGTGGTCCCAGCTGCATGGAGATCAATTGACAAGATCCTCATGTGTAGTTCTGGGATGATTCCTCACTGTTCTCATGATCACTGACACTCCACGAGGTGAGATCTTGCATGGTGCACCAGACCTAGGGAGACTGACAGTTGTTTTGTGTTTCTTCCATTTGCGATTGTTTGAACCAACTGTTGTCACCTTCTCACCAAGCTGCTTCGCGATAGTTTATAGCCCAGTCCAGCCTTGTTTAGCTTTATAATCTTGTCCCTGAGATCCCTGGACAGCTCTTTGGTCTTTGCCATGGTGGAGCGTTTGGAATCTGATTGATTGCTCCTGTAGACAGGTGTCTTTTATACAGGTAACAAAATGAGATTAGCAGCACTCCCTTTAAGAGACTGCTTCTAATCTCAGCTTGTTACCTGTATGAAAGACACCTGGTAGCCAGAAATCCTGCTGAATGATAAGGGATCAAATACTTATTTCCCTCATGAACATGCAAATCAGTGCATAATTTGTTAGGCATGCATTTCTTTTGAATTTTTTTGTTGCTATTCTGTCTCTGTGTTACAATACACCTACCATTCGATTTTTAGACTGATCATTTCTTTGTGAGTGGGCAAACATTCAAAATCAGCAGGAGATCAAATACTTATTTCCTTCACTGTATAGGTATGGTAGGCAATGTATGGTTTTCTCTTTGGTCTACTGTATACAAGTGTTTCATGAAGAACCTTTGTAGGGTATAGTACCTTTTTATTGGCTACTACTATTGAAGCCATTTGAAATTTCAGTTTAAATCTGTAAAATAGTTTTTCATTTGCATCAAAACAAAAGTTATGCAAAGTCCTAGCTTGTTTTCTTTATAATGAATCCACATCCTTAGAAGAAAGTCCTGTACCTTGTCTGCATGCAATAGAGAAGGATCCTTGCTCTTTTGTAAAAAAAACAGTGGTCCCTCTGCAGAGGTTTTACATGCCCCTGCTGAGTCAGGCCTCTAGTTTTGCAAACAACAAAGCTTATACTGCCTAAAAAGTAGGCTTTTTTTCTAAATCCACCATTTAGTGAAATAAATAGGGAAGGCAAAGTTGAAGCAGAACTCCAGTCAAAAATACCAAGCTAAAAATGAAGATTTCCCCTGCAAATGAAGATGAGAGATTTCCCCTCAAGTCCGTTTTCTGCTGCTAGATGTCTTCGGTCTGATGGCAGCATCATTCAGCCCCCTAAGCCTATGTTGTCCTGAATCGGCTCCATCCTGTGACTGGACAATGAAAGAAGCAGCACAGTGATGAGCTCATCTTTCTGTCACACAGCTTTCCTCTTCGCACATGAAGAGACTGGATCCCCGTGCTGTTTCTACTCCTCATACTCCAGCTCTGCTGTACAGGCACTACATAAGATCGATATCAGTTTCATATTCTGGTATCTTAATAATTGTTTCCCAATACGCACAGGACAAACTTAAATATGTGAGACTTGGGTAGGTGGGTGATCTCTCAAAGAAATAAAGGTACATACAAATATATTTAAAATACAATCCTGTCCTAACATCTAGCCCTAGGGCAGACCATGATGCAACAGCTATATCATGATTAAAAACCAAACACAATAAATCATGATACAGAGCAGATAGAATACAAAAGTCTTGGAGCACAACCCTAATGGACCCCTGCACAGCTACAATCTTAATACTTCATAAAGTGTCATCCAGAGGGGAATCAATAGAAAATGTTTTGCTTCCTGAATCTCCAACTTTGATGATGTAAATCTGTTGATAAAATAATGTACTGTGGATGGGTTCTAAGGTTCAATGCGTTTTGCCAGAAAACTGCTTCAGGGAAGGGGGTGTTCAAGGAAATATAGAAGTGTTTAAAAAATACTTTAAATTACCGTATATACTCGAGTATAAGCCGACCCGAATATAAGCTGAGGTACCTAATTTTACCACAAAAAACTGGGAAAAACTATTGACTCGAGTATAAGCCGAGGGTGGGAAATGAGGCACCTACTAGTCAATGTAAAAATTGGTGTCAGTGGGAGGAATAGTGCCCCATCATTGGTGTCAGTGGGAGGAATAGTGCCCCATCATTGGTGTCAGTGGGAGGAATAGTGCCCCATCATTGGTGTCAGTGGGAGGAATAGTGCCCCATCGTTGGTGTCAGTGGGAGGAATAATGCCCCATCATTGGTGTCAGTGGGAGGAATAGTGCCCCATCGTTGGTGTCAGTGGGAGGAATAGTGCCCCATCATTAGTATCAGTGGGAGGAATAGTGCCCCATCATTGGTGTCAGTGGGAGGAATAGTGCCCCATCATTGGTGTCAGTGGGAGGAATAATGCCCCATCATTAGTATCAGTGACACCAATGATGCGGCACTATTCCTCCCACTGACACCAATGACACTTGCTGACCCCTGTTGCAGTATGGTGCTGCTGCAGCCAGCATATGTGGTTGCAGCAGCACCTCTGCACTGCACACTTACCGGCTTTTCCCTCACTCGATTTTCGCGGGTCCGCTCGGCTCCGCCTCCCTCGCCCGTGATTGGCTGCCTGTGTACCTTTCCTGAGCTACAGTTCTGGCGGCCAATCACCGGTGAGAAGGCGGAGCCGAGCGGCAGGAGTGAGGGAGTGGCCGGAGTGACGGAAGGAGCAGCGCTTCCTGGATGGATCGTCGTGGGACCGGAGCCAGGTAAGAGACAGCAGCCCTCTGCCCACCCCTGTACGCGCCCCCCTTGACAGAGTCTCGCGCCCCCCCTGGGGGGCGCGCCCCACTATCTGCAGATGTTGACCCAAGTATAAGCCGAGGGGGCCGTTTTTCAGCACAAAAAATGTGCTGAAAAACTCGGCTTATACTCGAGTATATACGGTATGTATTATTGATTGTAGAACTGCATTTGTTTGTGTGTTTTATATTTGGCTTGAATTAAACATTAAGGTGGTTTTTTAACAGTGCAATGGGTTTTAAATAGTTCCTGAGAGTTAGGGAAGTGCTTTTCAAGAATCCTGGACCTATGCTTGTACCATGAAAATGGTAATCCTAACTTATTGTTTATAACTAAAAAAAAAAAAAAGTCCTGTGATAAACATGTTGGCACTGTTATGCTAATCACAGGACTTTGTTTTTTGAAACAACATGCTGACATGGCTATCACATGGATTTGTTGATAAACCAAGCCATCACATAATGACAGGGTCTGACGTGGTCGTGTTTAACAAGGCCATGTTACTCAGATAAGGGACTGATGTGACTCTATATAAAGAAAGACATGTCACCTGATTTTTATAGCTAGGATCACTGCTTGCTCACAGCTTTAAAAGGGGACATTTTTTATTAATTATAACTAAAGACATTATTCTTTTTTTTAGTTTTTGATAGATGTGCTAATGCTACTACATTCTATCAGAATTGTGCTGTGTGTGTCCCTATTTAGGAGATCACTCTTTCTGTTTGTCCTGTTAAACATTATCATCAAGAGTGAAAGTGAAAGTAAATACAAAATTTTGAGTTGTCACCAGAACAAGAATAAAGGGGAAGTCTTCCAGTGGGGATGCTAGTTCTGGTGACCCTTTTGAGAACCAAGGGATTCCCTTATATTGGATTAACTTCCTCTCACTTCCTGTTTTGGCTTTGGGACAGGAAGTGAAAGGGAAATCCCCCAGTGGGACACAAAGGACAAAAAACGGGATTTATAGCCCTCACCTACTCTATCCAAAAGGAAAAAATGCTTTGCTTAGTTCTACATTAAGCCAATTTTACTGAGCAGTGCTACATGGTAAAAATAGTCCAATTACTACATACATTTAGTAAAGGCAAAATTGCTGCTCTCCTCTATTCCCAGTAAAGATTGAGCAGTAGTAGTGAGGGGGCCTTTTTAATTCTATAGTTTTTTCCCAATATGATGGCCACTTCTGCTGCGAGGGTTATAAGATTCAGTGTCTTGGGGGGGCAACCCTGTTAATTCATCCTATATGGCTTCTGGTACATAACTATTTTGGCTTGTGTTTAGGTTGGGGGAGCATTTGCCCCTCCCCTTAAAGATCTGTGCCGATTCCTGAAGGAAAATCCAGAGTACGGAGTGGCTCCAGAGTGGGGAGACGTTGTAAAACAATCTGTGAGTACAAATACTTGTATGTCTATATTGTAGGGTCTTTAACTTGAATTAAATGAGAGATTACCCTTTAGAATATGCTAGAGTCTTCATACTCCTATGTGCACTTGTGATTCTGAAAAACTGTTATTGTGAACCATATAGCCAAGTAACCTAATCCTAGCATCTTCCTCTGGTATCTCCTGCCTGCTGTAGCAATAATTTCAAGGAATAATGTTATTAGTATTAGGAATAATGTTACCAGTATTATGACACCTTTCTATCAGAACCAGCATTAACTTTTTTTGTGTTTAGCCATTTGAGCTACAGTAGCTCTTCTACTGGATCAGACTACACGGGCCAGTCTTCATTTCCAACATGCAATAATAAGCCCTGACCGCTCATGACACTGTCGCAGCTTGCCGGTTTTCTTTCCCTGAACCACGTTTTTGTGTGTCCTGACCACTGCAGACCAGGAACATCACACAAGAGCTGCAGTTTTGGAGATGCTCTAACCCAGTCATCTAGTCATTACAATACGACCCTTGTCAAATTCGCTCAAATACTTACACTAGCCCATTTTTTTTTCTGTTTTCAACACATCAACTCCAGGGACAGGTTTACTTGCTGCCTAATATATCCCACCCACTTTCAGAGGTCATTATAACGAGATAATCAAGGCTGTTCATCTTACCTGTCAGTGGTCTTGATGTTATGGTTGATTTGTGTATGTTCCACTGATTTTGCTTACCTGGAAGAGAAATGTTTTCACTTCAGTTTAGCTGTAAAAATGATGATAGGGCTTACGTGCTGTATATTATGTATGTTAGATTATCTAGGATCTGCCATACAGGTAAACCATAGGCTTGCTGCTAATGTTTTTATATAGCTCCGGTAGTCACAGCAGCTAGCAGATGTTGAAATCTTTCCACAGTCCTTTGTAAAAGGCTACAGTTGTGTCCAAAATTATTCAACCCCCAATGCTGTAAAGGGGTTTAGGGACTATAGTGTACATTTGGAATTGTATTCAGAATCAAATCCTACAAGGACGTTGTAACTACCCAAATGCAACTAAAATGACATCAATTGTTTATGTAATACAGTAGTAAATGGTTCTTATGTGGTTTCTTCATTGCCACAATTATTCAACCCCTTAAAGACTACCACTCTGAAGAACAGAGGTTCATACAGGTGCTTTCCATCAGGTATTGAAAACACCTGTGGATGTCACCGAGCAGCAATCAAGCATAATAAGCACCAATTAGGCAGCTTTAAAATGACTGTGATACTCAGCTCCTTCTAGACATTTACTGGTGTGGTTACAAACATGGTGAAGGCAAGAGAATGGTCCAGGAAGACAAGAGAAGAGGTGATTTCTCTTCACAGGAAGGGCAATGGCTATAAGAAGATTGCAAAGATGTTAAACATACCAAGAGACACCTTAGGAAGCATCATTCGCAAATTCAAGGCAAAGGGCACTGTTGAAACGCTACCTGGTCGTGGCAGAAAGAAGATGCTGACTTCGACTGCTGTGCGCTACCTGAAGCGTAGAGTGGAGAGAAGTCCCCGTGTGACTGCTGAGGAACTGAGAAAAGATTTGTCAGATGTGGGTACAGAAGTTTCAGCCCAGACAATAAGACGCACACTGCGTAATGAAGGCCTCCGTGCCAGAACTCCCAGGCGTACCCCCTTGCTGTCTCCAAAGAATAAGAAGAGTCGACTGCAGTATGCCAAAAGCCATGTGGACAAACCACAAAAGTTGTGGGATAGTGTTCTGTGGACTGATGAAACAAAATTAGAACTGTTTGGGCCCATGGATCAACGCTATGTTTGGAGGAGGAAGAACAAGGCCTATGATGAAAAGAACACCTTGCCTACTGTGAAGCATGGTGGAGGGTCAATCATGCTTTGGGGCTGTTTTGCTTCTGCAGGTACAGGGAAGCTTCAGCGTGTGCAAGGTACCATGAATTCTCTTCAGTACCAGGAGATATTGGATGGAAACGTGATGCAGTCCGTCACACACCTGAGGCTTGGGAGACGTTGGACCTTTCAACAGGACAATGATCCCAAGCATACCTCCAAGTCCACTAGAGCATGGTTGCAGAGGAAAGGCTGGAACATTTTGGAGTGGCCATCGCAGTCACCAGACTTAAATCCGATTGAGAACCTCTGGTGGGACTTAAAGAAAGCAGTTGCAGTGCGCAAGCCTAAGAATGTGACTGAACTGGAGGCCTTTGCCCATGAAGAATGGGCGAAGATACCCGTAGATCGCTGCAAGACACTTGTCAAGCTATGCTTCACGTTTAAAAGCTGTTATAACTGTAAAAGGATGCTGTACTAAGTACTAAGATTGAATGTCACTTGGGGGTTGAATAAAACTGATAATGCTGTGAGCACAGAAAAGACATTTGTGGTTATTTCATTATAACTGTTATGTTATATTTGTCTGACCTACAAGTGCCTCTTTAATGTAAATGTAAGCAAGATGACTGAATGATCAAAAGCAATGTCAAACTGGCCAAAACACTCAATTTCAGTGGGGGTTGAATAATTTTGGCCACAACTGTATGCATTCTATTTAACCACTGGACCTCCGGAAGACCCTTTCCTGACCAGGCCATTTTTTTGCTCTACGGCACTGCTTTACTTTTGACAATTGAACAGTCATGCAACGCTGCACATAAATGACATTTTATTTTTTCCCACAGAGTGTTCTTTTGGTGGTATGTGATCACCACTGTGTATTTTATTTTTTGTGCTATAAACAAAAAAAGACAATTTTGAAAAAAATAAAAACAATATGTTTTACTTTTTGCTATAAACATATTCAAAATGTTAACACGAATTGTTTCATAAATTTAAGCCAGTATGAATTCTGCAACATATTTTTGGTACAAAAAAATCCTAGCAAGCGTATATTGATTGGCTTGTGCAAGTTATAGCGTCTACAAACTATAGTTTAAAGTAATATTTTTTCTTTTTTTTTTTCAATACTAGTAGTGGCGGCAATTGGCGACTTTTAGCGGGACTGCGATATTGCGGCGGACAATCTGACACAAACTGACAATTTGTGAGAACCGCTGACACTAATGCAGTGATCAGTGCAGTCTGGCTGGGAAGGGGTTAAACATCTATGGCGATCAAAGGGTTAAACTGTGCCTAACCAGTGTTTGTGTGTACTATATTGTGTTTTTGCTAAGGGATCTGCTGAATTTTGTTCTCCGCTTTGCAGGGAAACAAAAAAACACCATATCACCACTGACAGAACACAGCAATTCCTTGTTTACATAGGCAGAGCTGTGTTCTGTCTTTCTCCTCATTGACCAGCGGGTGCGGGCAGTCATTCATTGGTTGGCACCCGCTGATCGGCTTCTGCTATGGCTAATCACAGCAGAAGCAGCACACCGTACCAGGAAGTGCAGAACCAGTATGTATACATGATTCTGCACACTGCGGCCACCGTGTAGCAGCAAAGCTGCTCTAGGGCGGTTGTCAATCTGTTAAAATAGACTAATGTGAATGTTTTTTGAATATTAACCACTTGCCCTCCAGAGGATTTACTCCCCTTCCTGACCAGGCCATTTTTTGCGATACTTTAACTGACAATTGCGCGATCATGCAATGCAGCACCCAAATTAATTTTATGTCCTTTTTTTCCCCACAATTGGAGCTTTCTTTCGGTGGTATTTGATCACCTGTGTGTTTATTTTTTATGCTATAAACAAAAAAAGATAGACAATTTTGGAAAAAAAAAACCTAAATTTTTGACTTTTTGCTATAAAACATATTAAGTACAAAAAATGTAAAAAATCAAATTTCATCATAAATTTAGGCCAAAATGTAGTTTGCTACATGTCTTTGCTAAAAAAAAAAATCCCAATACATGTAAATTAATTGGTTTACATGAAAGTTATAGCGTCCACAAATGGCGGTATATATACTGAAATTTATTTTTTTTTTTAAATACTAGTATCGGCGATCAGCGACTTATACCAGAACTGCAGGACTACGGCGGGCATTCTGACACTGGGTGGGAACTGACTAACTGCCACTGACATCCCAATGACACTAATACAGTGAACATGGCTGATAAAAACACTGACACTGGGCAGGAAGGGGTTAACATCTGGGACGATCAAAGGGTTAACTGTGTGCTGTTTTACAACATGTGCTGTGTGTGTTTTACTTGGGAAACAGGCTGCTGTGTATTTCTCTGTTGTGCAGAGAAATACACAGCAGTATGTTACTGCTGGCAGGGGAGAGTCCTGTGTTTACAATGGCAATCTCCGGGTGGGACCCAGTGATTGACATCCGTAGCCGCCAATGGCGGTGCGCGTGCCACCGACCCAGAAATGCAAATCACATATATATACCTGAGTTTGCGCAGTCCTGCCGCCCTGTAGCAGTGTTACTTCTATAGGGCGGTGAGCAACTGGTTAAGTACAAAAATTTACTTTTTTAACTGCCTCCCACCCGCCATATAAGGAAATGACGAGCGCAAGGCAGTTCTCTCATTCTGGGAGGACATCATATGATGTCCTCCCACTATAACTACGCGGGCGCACGGCGATCGCTGATGCGCTGTGTCCCTGGGACACAGCGGATCACCAATCAATGGAAAGAGCCGAAGACGTCGGCTCTGTCATGTGATCAGCTGTGACCAATCACAGCTGATCGCATGTAAATAAGGAAATGCTGGTTATCGGCATTTCTCTCTTCACGAGCTGTCACGCTGACAGCTTGTGAGGAGAGGAGAGCAGGTAATCGGCGTTACTCAGAGGGGACATGTACACTGATCATCAGATCACTGATGCTCAGTGTAGCCCCATCAATGCCACCTGCCAGTGCCCATCAGTGCCACATCAATGCCACATATCAGTGCATACCAATGCACATCAATGCCACATATCAATGACCATCTGAGATGCCTTTCAGTGCCGCCTAACAGTGCCAGTCAGTGCCGCCTATCAGTGCCATATATGAGTGTTGCCTTTCAGTGCCCATCACTGCAGCCTCATTAGCGCACATCAGTGAAGGAGAGAAATCCCTTTTTCAGTAGTTTTTGGTTTGTTTAGCAAAAAATAGAAACCCCAGTGGTGATTAAAAACCACCAAAAGAAAGCTCTATCTGTCTAAAAAAAAAAATGATAAAAAATTCATATGGGTACAAAGTTGCATGACTGCGCAGTTGTCATTCAAAGTGCGACAGCGCTGAAAACTGAAAATTGGCCTGGGCAGGAAGGGGGTATAAGTGCCCTGTAGGCAAGTGGTTAATATAGTCATTTTATCCTTTTGGTGGTGTTTTTTATAAAGTGGATCTTTTTGGCTTTGGACATTCAACTATTTACATATTCTTCAGAAACAGTAAATGAGCCCTTAAACAAGCCTCACTGGCCCCTGTAGCAGCTTCTTCTGTGGCACAGTTATTCCTCCAAGTTCACAACAGAAGCTTCAGAGTCATTCAAGTCTTTCTGTCTGAAACTCAGCTCACCCTGTTTCCTCCTCCCAGCAGTGGCTTGTCAGCCATCCAGCTTTCTGTTCTCTGATTTACAGATGAAGCAGATGCTATGGTAGGGGAGCTTGGCTGTTGAGAGAAGGACTTGTAACAACGGATACTGTAAACTTTGAGGATTAATTAATACACAGCATCTGCAGCTATGAGGGTAGTGATGGCTTGTTTACAACCATTTACTGCTTGCATAGAAATGTAAATACTTGAATGTCAATAGCCTGGTTACAGATTTCACTTTGAGGTTCTAGGTGAAGAGCGGATAATAGGATACTTTGTATCACCTAATGGATCTGTTTTGTTCCTTTCTTCTGTAGGGTTTTCTCCCAGATAGTATGTTTGACCGTGTCCTAACTGGCCCTGTGGTGCGTGAGGAAGTGAGCAGGAGAGGCAGAAGGCCAAAAAGTGAAATTGCCAAGGCAGCAGCAGCCACAGCATCTGGCAACTCTGTGAACGTCAGCCCTTTGCTAGCGAATGGCCTTATCCCAGGCATGGATATTTCCAGCTACCGGGCTTTACAGCAGAACTTCCAAAGTCTTCAGTCTTTGCAGCTAACAGCTGGATTAATTGGTTTGCCTGCAGGGCTCTCTGCTTCTAGTGGAGATGCCAAAAATATGGCTGCCATGTTCCCAATGCTGCTGGCTGGGTTACCCAATCTTTTGGGTATGGGAAATCTATTGAACAAGTCACCAGATCCTAGTGCCAAGGAGAAAGAGAAGAACTGTACAGATGAATGCAAAGATGCTGAAAATGGCAAAGAAAGGACGATGTCCCCATCCAGTGAAAAATCCAGGCAGAACTCAAGCCCTCCTTCCACATCTTTGGGAACTGCAGTACAAGCAGGTTCCTTATCTATCAACCCACTGCTGTTACCCAATATACTCTACCCAGGGATGCTTCTCACTCCAGGCCTTAATCTTCACATCCCAACTGTGCCCCAACCGAACGTTTTTGATGTACAGAATACTAGCAAAGATGCTGGTCCAGTAGTGGCCCCAGATTCCACAGCAGAACCACCTCCTGCTCCCAGCCAGGAAGAAAAAGTGAAGAATGAGGGTGGCTCTCAAAATGAGAACAGCACAGATGACTGTTCTGAGAAGGCAGAACCTTCCTCAGGATCAAATAGCCCCTCTTCTTCCTCGTCTGAGGACTCTGATTCTTCGGAGGAAGACTAACCTTGACAAAACCTGCACTTAAATTATAATTCCCCCCCCCCCCCCCCAAAAAAAAAAAAAAACCTTTTCTTGCCTACAATTATTTTAATTGTAAATAATGTGTTACAAGTGCATCAAAGGATTTTAAAGACAAGCAGACATTTCAGTATTCTGAAAATGCAAATAGCGTTTTAAGAAAACGTTTTGCATGTAATATTCTCACAGAGACTTACTTGTATGTAATATCAAAACAAAAATACACACTGTGCTGTAAGAGGCTTACAGCAAAAGGCATTAACTTTTGTTTGAGGGAAGTCTGGGTTAATTTTATGGAAAAAAAATTAACAAAAAAAAAGACAAAAAAAAATAAATAAAAGGCAAACTTGCTCTCTAAGAGCTGTATATAAATAATATATTTGCAGTGAAACACAGAATCCTCTGAGTATATTGTGGTTTTCCTTTCTGCCTTTAGTTTTTACAATTTCCTCAAGCGTATCACTTAACAGAACTCAGCAATAATTTGGGCAGTTTACGAATGTTGTGGAAATGTTTAGTAGCTGTGTTTTATTTCACCGTAAAGGGAAGTGATCATGAAATTGTTTATTTTATTTTTTATTTGTAAGTTATGGTAGCATCATTCAGTCTGTTAGTACAGCATATAGGCACCGAGATTATTTATTTAAATATTATTCATTTGGGAATATACACTTTGACTCTAAAAGAGCCTTGATTTAGCCTCTCCCATGTGAAAGCACAAAGCTTATGCCCCTTCCTTTACAACACTTCTTGCTAATTAGCAATGACATCACGTTGATCCTTTACAAAGTAAAGGAATTCATTGGGATGTTTAAAAGGGTTTCAGAGATGAACTGCGAAATTTCATACCATGGAGGGTGGTATACCAAGAATAACCAAGCATTTGTATAGTTTAGCACCTTTTGGGGGCTTTTAAAGTATTAGTACATGTACTGATTAAGTAATGTACATAACTGAGTGGGCATTGGTGGGCTCAATCACCACTCAGCACATTTTAACGGAACTGGCTTACAGTTGTAGTCAAATAAATCCATGTGGTCCAGGCAAGACTGTAGTGGGAGGCCAGGTATCGGGGCAACTTTTTCCCACTACACATGTGAAAGAACTGGCAAATAATTAAAGTTGAACTCCAAAAAAATGTTCATGTGCATATAGGAGCTGTTTCATCTGCCAAGGGATTTTTCTGCCCAGCCAGTTCTAACATTTACACAGCACAACGAGGCTGTAGAACTGACCTTTCTCTACTGCAGTTATGCACAACCGCCTGGTCACCTCCCTATCCTCAGTCTGTGATTGGATGGTGTAAGAGTGGAAGGCTGATGATGTCCTGGCTCTCCTACTGTCAGTATGATCCTAGGCAGCACAAGTGCAAGAAGCACACCTAATTGGCTTCTAGTTATGCCCCTCCCTCTCCTAAGTGCTGTTGTTCAATACATTTTATGGTGGGCTGATACCAAGTCAAATTCAGGTACATATGAAAGTTGCATTTAAAAATGAATCCTGGAGTTCAGCTTTAAACCTGCAGTCTTGCAGCATTGCTCATATCGTCATTGGACTGATCAGTTTTCCCCACTTATGTTACGGTATAATGATTTATACTGTTTTATAAATTTGGGAGTGATTTGCAAAAGGTTGTTTCAGATGATTTGCCATTTGTCCTGTGTCAGTATGCTATCTTGTATCTCTGATGACTCTTCATGCCACAGATTTAGAGCCAGGTATGTTACTGGTGTATCGAAAGACCTATGTCATTAAAAGCACTTTGTTACCTTGATAAAATTACATATTGAGCTATTGTATTTTTGTCATTCTACCTAATTTTAGGAGCTAGATCATTTTCTATTTTCTGTAAAGTTGTTTGGACTCTTGTGCAGATGCTATATATATGGCTTTATATTGGAACATTCAACTTGCCCATGTAGGGAATGATTCTTCTTCTCCCTTGTCCACTTTGATCTGTCTGAAGCTTTTTTCTGTGTGAGCACTGCAGTAAGTACCTTTTGGGGCTTATAGGTCGTGTAGCCAAAGGGAGCCCTGCGAGTGCCAGATCTGTTCTAAATCAGTAGAATTGGGGAATGAATGATAGTATCTGCAAGCTTGAGTTTGTGTTTGATTCTGACATCTGAACTGACTCGTTTTAAGAGAGGTGTTTCTTTTGAAATTACATTTTTCTGTGGTAAATTACGGAGATTTTCAGATATAGGTTTTTTCCACTCTTCTGGCCTTAGGGACGTCATCAAAGGACAAGTCCGTTTAGAATAATTTAAACCTATAAAGCATCTTTCACAAATGTTGGTCTCTGTGATAAAGGCGACATAACAGAAAAGGTATGTTAAGATCCTGTTTAGATATGCATATTTGCTCAAAACTAGCTGGCTGGGAGGTCACAAGGCAGGTTTTAGGTTCTCGATTGGAAAGAACATTTGAACTTGCAGCTCAGTTTTACCAACATTCTGTATGCTTGAGCACTGTTTCCCACAGAACTCTTAAGTGAAAAGTAAATGCACAGAAATTGGATCAGTTCTATACAAGTCTAGGATAGATTTACTCATATGGACAGATACAGCTCCTAAATTAAACCTAAAGCTGCAGCTTGCAGACACTTGCTCATACATTATATTCTTCTTACAAGTATTATATAGGAAAACACAGGGCCATTTAGTAACAGTCGGCTCCTATGTCCCCCAGCTGTATAATGGAGCCCCAACATGTAGCTTCTACACACACACACAAATTCAGACTGAACCAATTGAGACAGGAAAATCAATCATTCTTCAAAACATGGACATTTGAAATGCTACAATTTGAAGACCTCACAGTCTGCATAAGAGACCAAAATAGGTGGAGAAAATGAGGAGCAAATAACTAGATCCCTAGTATTATGAGAGATTTTATCAACACAACAGCAGTGCTATTAATGGTAGATGATCTTTAAGAAGTAATGAAGTGCTTTTAACTGAAAAAATGCAGCAATATAGTGAAAAGGGCTAAACACCAGCAGTAAAATATAGTAATAATTAAGGTGGATCTCCAGGCAATTTCTTTTTTTTAATCCAGCTATGTATTGATGAACAAAACATTACATTTAATTTTGCATTGAACTTTAGTTCTTTTAATATAAATACTTCTATCTGTCTTGATATGTCTCCTGTAATTCCTGCACAGATTTGTTGTCCAATCACAGGCTGAGAGGTGACAAATGAAGCAGAACTTCAGCAGACATTTTTTTCAATAGTCATCCATCAGATTGCAGAGTACCAGGTCTATGATTTTAAGGGTAGTAAAGGAACCCAACCCGACCCCTTTCGCTGCTCAAAAGTGAGCCCGTATCTTCCTTGATTCCCTGCAATGAGTCGGCTGCCAGAACCTTGAAGTCCACTCTTGCTCCACTGTAGACCATCATCCAAATAATGGGCTACACACCAAAGACTTTCAAATCCAGCCATGGTTTGTTGCAGTGACAGCACATGGATCCCCATGATTGAGCCCTCCTGTGGTGAAATAGGCTTTGAGTGGGTGTGAGTGTTGTGCTGTCATTGCAGTTAACCCCTGGCTGGAGTTGGCCGTCTTTGGCGTGTGGCCTGTTATTTGGATTACAGTGGTTCAAGGGTAATAGGTTTTTGAACTGTGCACACAGAGGATGCTTGCTAATATGCATAATGTAGGCCATGCATATGGGGCATATAAACTAGAATGTTACGGGTTTTGTTTGCCTGGAGTTCCACTTTATCATTAAATATAATAATACTTATCAGTATTTAAACAGATTTCTGTTTTCCTCATGGTTCATTGTTCAGGGGGCCAGTGCACATGCTGCCTGGCCCCCTTGTTTTTCATGTTTGATAGAGTAAGGAAGGATTATAACCCTTGTCAGTTTATTTTTTGCCATCTGTGCCCCTTTGAGGAGGTTTGCCTTCACTTTCTATCCCATAGCCAAAACAGGAAGTGAGAGAAAATCTCTGTAAATTAAGGGAATTCCTTGGGGACCCCCATGTCACCTAAACTAGTGTCCCCATTGGAAGATTTCCCTTCTTTACTTTTCTGGGGACAAAGCAAAATTTAAGGTTTCTTTCACTTTTGATGATAATGGTAAACAGGACAAATAGAGAGGGGGGATCTTCCTGATGGGGGCGCAGGCTGCAATAAAAACCTGACAGGTGTTCTAAGCCATCCCCACGCTATGCAAAATGTAAAAACAAATGTTTTGCCTTTAGCTATACTTTAAATACTGAATTGTCACTGTTTACATAAAAGATGCCATTTTCAGGTATTGCAGAATCCGTCTGAAATGTTCTTGTAGGCTTTTTTTGTTCATTGCTGGGTCAACCAAGTATTTATCAATCAGTGCGATTTTCAATTTTGAGTAAAGAACACTGTATCAAAAATACAGCTGCTGCCTTGGTAACCAATAGGTTTTTATTTTTTTAAATGAAATAAAATGTCTGGATGGTTTATTGTTTTGCTACAGTTTTAATAAGTCGGTCCCATAGCTGAGACTCAATTTTAAGTGGTGGTTTTTTTCCCCTTGTTGGCACTCACTCAGCTGACATGGAGCCAAGAGTCCATGGAAGTGTTTGCGCCTCCAAATTCTAATGTTATTCCATCGTGCACTACATCAGAGCAACCAGATAAACAATACACTAATGTTACAAATTGGTATGGTATATCAGAATGAGTGCTTTGTACCCAGTAACAGGAGCGACAGTGTTGGTTCCCCATAGTATTATCTGGTGATAGGGAAACAGATGACATAGGGATATTTTCCAGTCTGCTGAAAAATCGCTTGTTGGTCTCAGTTTGGCAATAAGTAGAGGAGTTAGTATAAATTCAGCCTTTATAATATACAAATGTAAAGTAAAATGGTCCCCATTATCCTGATCAATCGTGTTTTGTTTTTCTATTTAAGAACAAATTGTGCAAACTAAAGGCATTAAATTAGATTAGTGCCAACTATTAAAGAAAATGTCAAGTTTTCCTAAAGTCTA